GGACCTAGGCTCTGTCCCTTAGCTTTCTCGCTCAAGGCTGGCGCTCTGCCACTGAAAGCCAAAGCAACATTTTCAGCTTTTTGCTGGTTAATTGGAGATAGGAGTTTTGTGGTGGGGAATGGTGAATTGATGAATGGTATGATATTGATCAAGATGCACTGTACTGGTCTGGAGGGGGAAAAAAAAACGGGTAGAAAGTGAAGGAGGGATGACATTGTTCAAAAAGAAATGTAGGGGCTGGGAAGGTGGCTCAGTGGTAGAGCGCTTGCCTTGCATGCATGAGGCCCTGGGTTCGATTCCTCAGCACCACATAAGCAGAAAAAGCCCGAAGTGGCGCAGTGGATCAAGTGGTAGAGCACTAGCCTTGAGCTGAAGAGCTGAGAGTCAGAGCCCAGGCCCAGAGTTCAGGCCCCATGACCGACAAAAAAAAAAAAAAAAAAGAAATGTAGTCATTACCTGACTTATGTAACTATAACCCCTCTGTACATCATCTTTACAATCAAAAGTTTTAGAAAATTACAAAAAAAGATACATTGTACTCAGAACCTGATTTCTGGAATTGAAACACCTTTGCACAACTAAGTAAAAATAAAGTTGAACAGCAACTTAACAATCCATTTCATTAAACACACACAGACAAACTTGCCAAACATCGATGACCCATACATATAATCCTAGCTACTCAAGAGGCTGAGATCTGAGGATTGAAGTTTGAAGCCAGACCAGGTAGGAAAAATCCATGAGGCTCTTATTTCCAATTAACCAGCAAAAAGCTGGAAATGGAGCTGTGGCTCAAGTGGTAGGGTGCTAGCTTGGAGGGAAAAAAAGTTCCGAGACAGTGCCCAGACCCTGAGTTCCAGTCCCAAGATTGGCAAAAAACCAAAAAACTCAGACTTTCCTGCCTAATCTGCCTTCAAACCCCAGATTCTCAGATTTCAGGATCCTAAGTAAGTAGAATTACAGACATGGGCACAGGTATTCAGCTCTGAGCTTTTCTTTCTCTTTCTCTCTTCTCTCTCTCTCTTTTTTGTGTGTCGGTTATGGGGCTTGAACTCTGGGCCTGGGCACTGTCCTTCAGCTCTTCAGCTCAAGGCTAGTGCTCTACCACTTGAGCCACAGCGCCACTTCCAGTTTTCTGAGTGGTTTATTGGAGTGGTTTATTCCTACCCAAGCTGGCTTTGAACTGTGATCCTCATATCTCAGCCTCCTGAGTAGCTAGGATTATAGAAGTGAGCCATTGGCACCCAGCTCTCTCTTCTTCCTTTCACTTGCTCAAGGGTAGCACTGTAGCACTTCAGCCACAGTGCTATTTCTGGTGTTTTCTGTGTATGTGGTACTGAGGAATTGAACTCAGGCCTTCAAGCATGCTAGGCAAGTACTCTACCACTAAGATACGTTCCCAGCTCAGCTTTAATTTCTTTCTGTGGGGAAAAAAAGTGGAAGAAATTATATTACGTCTAATTGCCATCTTTACTGTACTATGAAGATCAAATGGACCACAAAGATGTCTTGAGGGAACCCTGAACGTAGCCAGGCACTTCGCATACAAAGTCAGACCATGGTACTGGGTGAGAATGAGTCACCAGTTCCTAAATTCTCTGTAGGAAGGACCACATGATGTGCAGTGCTGCTTTTCTTCAAAGTGATGGGCAATACCAGAAGATCAGTCCTTGAAGCAGGTCTACAGGAAGTAGTTGAGGCCAAGCAGAGTCCATTGATTCCCACCCAGAACCTGCTGCTTTGCCAAGGTACTGAAAGTGGAGTCTGGCTTCCCTCCTTTCCCAGCATCTATCATCTCCCAGGATTTGGCCTGCCGGTTCCAAGTCCTGGAGAGCAGAATTCTCCCACTGGCAGCTGTGGAGGGGTGAGGTCAGATCAGCCGCTGGAGAGCCAGCTTCAACCCCATCACTCCCACCTCAGGACTGAACTCAACACTGGCCACACAGCAGTTTTCTCTCTCTCTCTCTCTCTCATTGGTCATTGGGCTTAAACTCAGGATCTGGGCATGCTGCCCCTGAGCTCTTTGTTCAAGGCTAGTGCTCTATCTCTTTGAGCCACAGCACCACTTCCAGTTTTCTAGTGGTGAATTGGAGTTAAAAATCTCATGGATGCCGGGCACTGGTGGCTCACATTTTAATATCAGCTAGTCAGGAGGCTGAAATCTGAGGATTGAGGTTCAAAGGCAGCCCAGGCAGGAAAGTCCCTGAGACTCTTATCTCCAATTAACCACCAGAAAACCGGGACTGGAGGTGTGGTTCAAGTGGTAGCACATTTGTCTTGAGCTGAAGAGCTCAGGGCAGCACCCAGGCTCACCCCCCCTCCCCCCCCCCCCCCAATAAAAAGTCTCATGGACCTTTCTGCCTTGGCTGGCTTTGAACTGCAATCCTCAGATTTCAGCCTCCTGAGTAGCTAGGATTACAGGCATTACTAGCCACATACACCTGTCTTTTCTTTCTTTCTTTTTTTTTTTTTTTTTTTGTCGGTCGTGGGGCTTGAACTCTGGGCCTGGGCGCTGTCCCTCAGCTCTTCAGCTCAAGGCGAGCGCTCTACCACTTGAGCTACAGCGCCACTTCCGGTTTTTCTGGTGGTTTATTGGAGATAGGAGTCTCACGGTCTTTCCTGCCCTGGCTGGCTTTGAACCGCGATCCTCAGATCTCAGCCTCCTGAGTAGCTAGGATTACAGGCGTGAGCCACCAGCGCCCGGCCTTTCTTTCTTTCTTTCTCTTTCTTTCTTTCCCTTCCTCCCTTCCTTCCTTCCTCTTTCTTCCTTTCTCTCTCTTTTTTTTTTTTTTTTTGGTCTTGGGGCTTGAACTTGGTTTGGGCACTGTCCCTGAGCTCTTTTGCTCAAGGCTAGCACTCTACCTCTTGAGCCACAGCACCACTTCCAGTTTTCTGGTGGTTAAGTGGAGATAAGAGGCTTTGAACCACAATCCTCACATCTCAGTTTCCTGAGTAGCTAGGATTACAGGCATAAGCCACCAGTGCCCGGCCTAAGAAACATTCATAATTCATACTTTGATGTTTCTAATATAAAGGTCTTACTAATGTCAGTATCTTAGTTTTAGGAAAAACGAGGAGAAAGAAAAGGGAATAGGAATAGGACTTGATTCTCAACAGGCTAGGATGGTGTATTGAAGCATAACAGCAAGAGGCACAGCATTCCCGTAGGTAGGGAGGCTGTGTGAGGAGGTTGGATTGGAGTTGGCCCTTTTATAGGGTCTGAGTAAGGAGGCAGATGTTACGGAAAAAGCGATTAGGTCTAGGGAGGAGGGGGAGTCTGGTTGGGCTCACAATGGAATGTTTACAGCTAGGCTTAAGTAGATGGCCCTGCCTGCCCTGCCTGACGCAGGCAGTCTGCACCTATCTGGTGTTTGTATGCACCTGTGCACCTGGGATAATAGAGTAGGGGTCAATCCTTCACTTAGACTTAGGAAATATAGCAGGAGTTCTGAAGTGAGAGTCCTCGAGACATGCCAGTATCTTTCTTCAACCACCAACTAGCCCAGTTTCTTGGGAGTCAGCCTGTTTGTTGGTACCAGCTCTGCCATTTGCCAGATGCATGGTGTGCAGGCCTCATTTTCTCATCTCTAAAAGGAAAGAATGGTTCATTGATTTTTGATATCTTTTTTGGTGTGTGTGTGTGTGTGTGTGTGTGTGTGTGTGTGTGTGTGTGTGTGTATACAGGTTCTGGGGTTTGAAATCAGGGCCTAGGTACTGTTCCTGAGCTTTTCTACTCAAGGCTAGTGCTCTATGACTTGAGCTACAGCTCCACTTCCAGCTTTTTTGCTGGCTAATTGGTAATAAGAGTCTTATAGAGGGGCTGGGAAGGTGGCTCAGTGGTAGAGCACTTGTCTTGCATGCATGAGGCCCTGGGTTCGATTCTTCAGCACCACATAAGCAAAAAAAAAAAAAAAAAGCCGGAAGCGGTGCTGTGGCTCACATGGTAGAGAGCTAGCCTTGAGCTGAAGGGCTGAGGGACAGCGCCCAGGCCCTGAGTTCAGGCCCCACGGCTGGACCAAAAAAAGTCTTATAGGTTTCTGCAGGCCTGGCTTTGAACCACGATCCTCAGATCTCAGCCTCCTGAGTATCTAGGATTACAGGCATGAGGCACCGATACTCAATTGGCCTCTTCATTTTTTAAGGATGTTTTCTCTGGTGGTAAACAAGTAAACAGCTCAGGCTTTTCTGAATGAGAGGTTGGGGACCTAAAGCTGTGGTCTTTTCTCTCTGGTATACCTCCTCCCTGATACACTTACTTTGGCAAATTCTCCTGTTGAGATGTGGTTGGGGAGTGGGCACACGTGCAGGCCTGGCATAAGTGTGGTATGTAATCACTTCCCAGCTCAGCCTCAGTTTTTCATACAGAAAGCAGTAGACCAGCTGATTTCTAAGAATCTATTCTGGCTCCAAAGTTTGGTGGAAAACAAAACAACCAAACAACTTCTACTCTTCTCCCTCAGAGACTCTTTACTTTGCTGGTACACTTAGGGAGTGTGTAAAAATTAAAAGGTGGCAAGACCCTTCCAGTTTTGAGGTAATTGATCTGGGAAGGACTCAGACATCAGTGATTTTTAAAAGCTCCCAAGGCAACCATAATAGCAACCAGGGTTGAGAAGCAACATTTCTCTAGACTGAAAGCCTCAGTGGGGAAGGGGGGGAAGGGGCAGGGAGAGAAAGAGTAAAAATTCCATTGATCTCCATTGCGTTCTTTTGGTCTATAGAAATGTTTTTGTCTTTTGTTATTGTGCCAGTACTGGAGCTTGAATTCAGGGCCTGGGTACCATCTCTGAGTTTTGTTGCACAAGGCTAACAAAGTACCACTTGAGCCATAGCTCCACTTCTGGCTTTTTGGGTGGTTAATTGGAGAGAAGAATCTCAAGGATTTTCCTCCCTGGGTTGACTTCAAACCATGATTCTCAGATCTCAGCATCTGAATAGCTATGATAACAAGTGTGAGCTCCAGGAACCTGGCTTTGTGGGGCTGCTTTTCAGAATAGTAGTGTGCTGTCTGGGTTACCGTGGTTCTTGCACTACCTTGAAATCAGGCATATGATGCCTCCAGCTTTGTTCTTTTTATTCAAGATGCTTTGGTTAACTCAAGGTCTTTTGTGTTTCTATGTACACTTTAGATAATTTCTCCCTAATTCTGTGAAGAATGTCATTGGTATTGTGATGGTCATTGCACTGAATTTTTTTTTTTTTTTAAGATTTTGTTATATGGGTGATGTACAGGGGGTTACAGTTACTGAAGTCAGGTAAAGAGTATATTTCTGCTGGGCACTGGTGGCTCATGCTTGTAAACCTAGCTATTTAGGAGCCTGAGATCTGACGATCATGGTTCAAAGCAAGCCCAGACAGGAAAGTCTGTGAGACCCTTATCTCCAATTAACTACCAGAATACTGAAGTGGCTCTTTGGCTCAAGTGGTAGAGCACTAGCCTTGAGCTGAAGAGCTCAGGGACAGTGCCCAGACCTAGAGTTCAAACCTGACTGACCAAAAAAAAAAAGGAAAAAGAAAAAATCTTATTTCTATTTCTTGGAGTTCATTTTGATAAAATATTTTGTGTGATCAGATGCACATAGTCATTGTGCCCTTCTGTTCTTCTCTTGAGTATTCTCCTTTGGTCTCAGTGTGTGTGAATGCTGAGAGACCTGAATAATTTATTATGTATCATATTTTACATCTAGCTTCTACATGAGAGAAAACATGCGGTTTTTCTCTCTGAGTTTGGCTTAAACTGCATTGAGTCATCAATGGCTTTGGGTAGTTTGGACATTTCAACTATTAATTCTCAAATTTGTGAACCTGGGAAGTTATCTTTCCTTTTTGTGTTGTCTTCAATTTCTTTCATCAATGTTTTGTAATTTTCATTATAGAAATCTTTCCCTTCCTTGGTTAAATTCCTAAATTGTTTTTTTGGTGGGTACTGGCGTTTCTGAGGGCCTCACACTCTTGTAGCTTGCTTGCTCACGACTGGAACTCTACTACTTGAGCCATGCCCTTCAATTTGGCTTTTTTCCTAGTTGATTAGTGACAATCTGGCTCTGAACCTTAGTCCTCCAATGTCAACCTCCAGCCTCTGTTGGCTCATGCTTATAATCCTAGCTACCGGGCTGGGAAAGTGGCTCAGTAGTAGAGTGCTTGCCTTGCATGCATGAGGCCCTGGGTTCAATTCCTCAGCACCACATGACAGAAAAAACCGGAAGTGGCACTGTGGTTGAAGAGCTGAGGGACAGCACCCAGGCCCAGAGTTCAGACTCCACCACCAAAAAACAAACCAAAATCCTAGCTACCGAAGAGGCTGAGATTTGAGGATCAAGGTTTGAAACTAGCCTGGGTTTTAAAGTCCTTGTGACTCTTCTCTCCAATTAACCACAAAAAAGCCAGAAGTAGAGCTGTGGCTCAAGTGGTAGAGTGCTAGGTTTGAGGGAAAGAAGTGGACAGCGCCCAGCCCTGAATGCAAATGCAAGAAACATACACATTAAAAAAAGACCACTCACTATATGTATGTGTGTGTTTTTGTGCATCATGGGGTCTGAACTCTGGGCCTGGGAGCCACAGCACCACTTCTGCTTATGTGGTGCTGAGGAATTGAACCCAGGGCCTCATGCATGCAAGACAAGCGCTCTACCACTGAGCCACCTTCCCAGCCCTTCTCTTTCTCTCTCTCTCACACACACACACATACTTGTCAGTTGTGGGGCCTGAGCTCTGGGCCTGGGCACTGTCCCTCAGTTCTTCAGCTCAAGGCTAGCGCTCTACCACTTGAGCCACAGCGCCACTTCCGGCTTTTTTCTTTTTGCTTATGTGGTGCTGAGGAATCAAACCCAGGGCCTCATGCATGCAAGGCAAGCACTCTACCACTGAGCCACCTTCCAGCCTCCCTTCTTATATTTTTTGTGCTGGTTTTGGGGCTTGAACTCAGGGCCTGGATGCTTTCCCTGAGCCTCTAATTGTTCAGGCAATATTTTACATACAATTTCAGAGGGCTATCTATAGAATTCTATTTCAAGCTCTGTTCTGGATCATCAGACAAAACCAGGCTTATTTTAGAGGGGCCCATCTGCTTCCTGCCATTTTCCAGTACAACTTCAAATACATTAAGACCTGTCCAAGAAGCCTCCGAGAAAAGTGTTACACCGAAGGAACCCCCTCAAAAAAAATATTTTTTTTTTTTTGCCTGTCCTGGGGCTTTAACTCTGGCCCTAGGTGCTGTCCCTGAGCTCCTTTTGCTCAAGGCTAGCACTCTACCACTTGAGCCACAGTCTCACTTCTGGCTTTTTCTATGATTAGAGATTAAGAAGAGTCTCACAGATTTTCTTCCTGGGAACCACGATCCCCAGATCTCAGCCTCCTGAGTAGCTAGGATTACAGGCATGAGCCACTGGCACCTGGCTTCCCTCAAAATTCTAAAAGCCTACAGAAACCACTGACAAATCCATCTAACTCCCAGAGTCCCCAACTGCTGGAGTAGAGTCTGCTAACCCCTGGCTCCAACAAGCACCACCTCCACTAGCAGTATAATGCTGGCTGCTGAGAGCCAATGTATCCACACAGTAGCTCTCTGCATGCCTTCCTCTGGGCTGGAAGCATGGCGGCTAGTGTTTACACTGAAAACTGTGCACACCAGCATTCACCCTGTCTCCCATCTCCATACCAAGCACACCCCCTCGTTCAGTTCATGAGCATTAAGGACTCCACAGCTGTCAAGCAAGGTTGTAGCAACAGGGTGGGGCGGGGGAGGCAGGCAGGGAGAGGATAGAGAACAGACATTCCAATAAATTTCAGCAGCATCTTTATTTGCAACCAAGAACCTGTAATAAAATGCAATGAAACGCATGTTTCATTTTACATGATTAAAAAGCCATGTAGCTGAGACTGAGAGAAAAAAGAAAACCCATCAACATATTGGAGTCAGACATGCAGTTCATTTTATACAAGTCAGTGCTTAAAACAGCAGGCACTTTATGCTCTAAAATTAAAAGACCTTTAACTCCAATTTTGCTGAAGACAACATAAATCTGTACTTGGGTTATCTGAAAACATACAGACACAACTCTGGGTGAGGGACTTCTGAAACAGTTGCAGGGGGCTCAGCAGGGTGTGTGCACAGGTAGCTATGTTCTAGGAGAGGCTGGGTGGGGTTGGGGAGGTGAAGGGAGATTCTGTAGCCCCTTCTGTCTACTGGGAAAAGATGTTCCACATTACATCTTGGCTTAGATAGGGCCTTGTCTTTAGTTCTAGCCAGGAGCTGTAAGACGTACTTCCTAGCTTAAGGGAGCACGCTACTCTACACCCCGTTCCCCAAATCTTCTATTCTCCAATGTTCTCCAGAATGTCATGTACTGCTTCATTAGTAAGCATGCTTAGCATTTACTTTAGAATGGAAATAGTCACCATTTTATGTGATTACCCTTTAAAATGTTTTATAGGAATATATTAATAAATATATATTTAAAAAAAAACCCTGCTTTTCTCTACATCATTTAACTATTTACTAGGAGGCAGGGTTTTCTGGTTGGAGCCTAGTACTGATTAGAAACTCATGTGGTCATGGGTACATTTTTTTTCTCTCTCTAGTATGCAGGTTCTTCCTTTAACAAATGAGAATATTAGAGTCTATTAATGATTTATTCCAGTTAGAAAAGTTTTGAATCTGCACTGAGACATCTTACAGGAATCATACTACCTAGAGGATGAGGCTATGGAAAGGTGAGATGCACCTTATGTAAGGAAAACAAGTAGTAAAAAAGGAGCAAGCACCCTACCTATAGTTCACTGCCCTAAGAGGCTGTGTGTGGCTGTGATGTCATCTTCCTGTGTGAGGCTTTGGAGAAGAGCCTAGAGGGAGGAGAGGGAGTGGTACAAGGGGGAAAAGACCTTCACTCCAAATCAAGTCTGCAGACCAAAAGCTACTGACTTTCTTAAGTTGCTTCCACAAGGGGGAGGGGGCCTCTAGTAACTTCTTTCCTGATTACTCTTTGTGATTCTTATAAATCAGTTCAGTATAAAAATCAATTATGATTTTCTTACTCCAACTCTGTTCTCTACAGAAGAGTTTCACGATTTAGAAACACTGGAAAACTTGTCAGAAATGTACATTCCTGATCTTTGTATTAGGATCCTGATCAATTTGTCTCCCAAATCAATGGGACGCAAATTTCCCAGAGTGAGGTTTAAGACTGCACCCATATAAAGCTTAGACTTCGAGTTTCACTGCTCTATAATACTCAGGAAATGGGTTCTGTTGATGGTTGTCCAGTGTGCTTATTTGTTAGGCCTATAAAAACCCAGTTTGCTGTGTAACACAGTGAGCGCTTTTGCTCTAACTAAACTCTTGGTATATTTTCTGCCTTTGACGCTGCTGCCCCCAGTTTGGGTACAATTTTAGTGTGATTTCTATTGACTGTTTCAAATGACTCTGATATTCTCCAAACTGGCTAGAGTGACTTCAGTTGAACTAGTGAATTCAGTCAGGTATTTTTCCCCCTAGAGAAGCAGAATGGCATTTGAGTGAGAATTTAAAAAGGCATGCCTAGGGTTAGGACGGTGGCTCAGTGGTAGAGTGCTTGTCTTGCATGCATGAGGCCCTGGGTTTGATTCCCCAAGCCCAGAGTTCAAGCCCCATGACCCACAAAGAAAAAAAAAAAAAAAACAAAGAAGCATTCCTTGTGGTAGGAAGAAAGAAAGCAGATGCCTGCGAATAGAAGAGAATTGAAATTTCTGAGGTGTTTTGGTAAAATCAGAGCTGCCTCATTAAGAAAGAAGCTTGATGGGAAAGAACTTTCAACTGAGCTATCTGCCTAAAAGCTATTTCTAACATTTCTGCTTGGATGGTAAGGATAGATTCTTGGAGGCCAATCAGTCCAAAAGATGTCATCCTCGACATCAACAGTCAGATATATGAGGGAAAATACTTTCTTGGGGAAGGAAAGTTACCCAAATCAATTTAATTTAACTTTGAAAAAATAGAAACAAATCTTGGCATGAGAAAATACCATAAACATGAAAATTAATACATATACAGGCAGCAAAGTGTGGGATCTATTATACATTATAAATATACAGCCAGGGAATCCCCATCCCTGCCCCCCAGGACCGAGCCAGGCCACGCGCCCTTTCTGGCCTCCTGCCCCGCCCACCTGGCCTTCAGGAACAGGGACCATGGGGGCCACACAGTCCCCATTCTCACTAATGCATATTGTGCTCTCTCTGAAAGAGGTCTGCGTTCTGTAGTGGTGAGGAAGAAACAGAGCAAATTTTCTTAAGAGTATGATTTTAAATTTTGGTAATAACTTTCTAAACACTGAAGGTTGGGATAAAATGGTCAGACTCAAAAATGTCTCCCCTGCTCCTGGCACGGATGGAACTCACCCAGTAGCAAAGACCTGCCATGCCCAAGGGCAGATCTTATTTGCTCCTTTCATAGTCACAGACTAAACCAGGAAAATGTCATGGCCACCAGCAAAACTGTTTACCAGCTCTACACACTATCGAAGAGAGCCACTCTGCTCCCCTGTTGCTAAGAGCTTGTCTGGAAACCTTGAGCTAACAATATTGAAAGTAGTTATTTAGGAAGAATTTTTTTTTGGGGGGGAGGTAAGGTTTTAAAATTAAAAGAACAACAAAAAAAAGGAATTACAATAAAGCCTAAGGAATTTTTCTTCCTATGAACAATGTCTGTCTGTGATGGCAAGAGAGTCATTTCCCAATTCTGTTTTCCTTAACTAACATTCTAGGAGTTTAGGTTCCACTTTCCCAGGTTTTCTCCCATGTACTTTTGCTCAGTTCTTAAGCAGACCCCGCACTGCCTCTCCATGTGCCTGGTCCATCCATCCATCCCACAGCCATCTCCTCCCACCTCCTAAAATTCGGCAACATTTTAATAATACCAAATGGAAACTGGCATCACTAAATTTCCCACATACAAGTGAATACACATTCTTCCTTTTTCCTAAAGGAGGAAAGATACTTGTCTGCAAATGTTTAAGCTCTTTAATCATTTGACTAAAAATATTCTGCCTGTAAGTATCAACATCATAAGACTTATGATTAAATCCATGCTACATATAGTAGTACAGTTACTTGTTTTTTATGCAAAAAGAAAAAAATCCCAGTCTGTCTTATCATTGAGGAAAAAGGAGGACTGTTTATACTAAGTACAGTTTAAATAGGCTAAAAACTGGTCTGAGTCAAAAAAAAAAAAAAAAGTGTCTTTAGGAGGCCACTAAGTTATCCTTAAAAAATCATTAATGACTTGGTTAAGTCATAGGTTTAATAGTGATTAGTTTATAACATGCTGATACACCCCACTCGATGAAGCCTAAGCTATTCAATCACATTAAGTGCTATCAAATCTGTGACTAGTCAAGAGATCCTGGAATTGAACCAAACCAATCACTAATGCCATATTTTAACAAACTCAGAAGTATAGTAAAAAAATCTACTAATTAGGTCCGTGAGATTTTATAATGCTATTAAAAGTGAAAAGAGAGTGGTATGAATGTGGTGCTCAAGTCTTAAGTTTTTTCTCTGTAATTCTCACGGCATTGCTGGATTCCTTAGGAATAGGTATCAATTCATTCTGTGTGTGTGTGGTTAAGGAATCAGATGAGCTGTAGAAGCCTATGCCACCAAATGTACTTTCAGAAGTCAGATGTTCTATGGCAGGTACCACCATGGCATGCTTAATTCCATGTTCTCTAACTGATCCAACCTTCTCATTTGGTTAAATAGCCAGTGTAGACCAGAGTTCTACCCAGGAATAATTATATCACTTTCAGAGCAGCAATACGTGATCCAAGGTTTTCTTGAAGATAGTGCAAAAGATGCAGTTCATAATGTTCTCCAGACTCAGGAACTCGTATGCTGTGTCTCTCCTGAGGATAGATCTTACCAACAAGAAGATAGGAAAAGAACATTTCAGTTAATAATAGATCTTTCAAAACTTTCTGGCGATGTTAGTAGCATGGAGCGCAGGTTCTCTGAGAACATATTTAATACATCATATTTAAAGGCCTTTCTTCTCTTATAATTCTGATAAACCTACTCATTGGGGCATAATGAAATTTTTATTTTCTTTTTTTCATGAGTGCCACCACTGGGGCTTGAACTCAGGGTCTGGGTGCTGTCCCTTAGCTTTTTTTTTTTCCCTGGTCGGTTATGAGGTTTGAACTCTGGATCTGGGTGCTGTCCCTGAGCTTTTCAGCTCAAGGCGAGCTAGTCCCTTAGCTTTTTTGCTCAAGGCTGGAGCTTTAACACTTAAGAGTTAATTGGAGCCAGGTGCTGGTGGCTCACATTTGCAATCCTAGCTACTCTTTTCTTCTTTTTCTGGTTGGTCATGGGTGCTGAACTCTGGGCCTGGGCACTGTCCCTCAGCTCTTCAGCTCAAGGCTAGTGCCCTACCACTTGAGCCACAGAGCCACTTCTGGCTTTTTTCTGCTTATGTGGTGCTGAGAAATCAAACCCAGGGGCTCATGCATGCAAGGCAAGCAACTCTACCACTGAGCCAACTTCTCAGTCCCTCCTAGCTACTCTTGAGGTTGATATCTGAGGACTGCTGTTCAAAGCCAGCATAGGCAGGAAAGTCTAAGACTCCTATCTCCATTTAACCACCAGAAAATCCAAAGTGGCACTGTGGCTCAAAGTGACAGAGTATTAGCTTTGAGCAAAAAGCTCAGTAGCACCCAAACCTTGAGTTCAAGATCCACAACCAACAAAAAAGAAAAAAAAAAAAGCTAATAAGAGTCTCACTGCCTTTCCTTCCTAGGCTGGCTTCAAACCTCGTTCCTCACATCTCAGCCTCCTGAGTAGCTAGGATTATAGGCACAAGCTACCAGTGCCTGGCAAGATTTTTATATAAACCAATAATTTGCTGCCTAAGTGTGGTCTGTAGTCTTCAAAGAGTTCTTGGAAATCCTTTTGGGAGATATATAAAGTAGAAACCACTTTAAAAGAGCCAATAGCAGCCTGTGTCTCCCATGACTGAGAACACTATGCAGGCTTTCTTTCTGAATGGATGATGCAAAAGCTGGCTGGCATGCAGCTGCAGGCCTCACCAGCACACAAGGCGCTATTAAAATCAGAACTCAAATGGCCACCACACACCAGGTAAAAGTCACAATTATTACAGCTGAAGCAAGCAGGGCAGAAGTCTTTAATGATGTGGTGCTAAGAAGGAAAATGCACTTAAATCACTTGTGCTACAGACATCTTTAGGAAAAGGATTGTGTGCAAGCAAGTTGCATGGTGAGTCACTTTTTAAATACCATTGTTTTTCTCCTTCAAAGAAATGAGTGATAAGTGAGATTTTTCAGATTTGTGTTTCTAATGAAGTAAGCTGGTCACTTTAAGACCACACTAATAGGAACTGTTAATATCTGTAGATGCAAAAGTTTTGGAAAGCTTATGTCTATTGCTATGAACTTCCCAATAGTTATTTTTCAATGAAATCAGTAGAATATTAGAGTATGTGATTCAAAGAATATTATGTAATAGAAGAGAGTCAATATTTAAAAGACTTGCATGGAGAGGAACTAATATTTTTCACATGATTAATGTGAGCTAAAAGATCCATTTGGTGTATAAGACCCAATAGATTTTATGTTATTATTGTTATTGTTGTTATTATTATTTTGTAGGTTATAGGGCCTGGGAGATGTCCCTGAGCTTCTTTTGCTCAAGACTGGCACTGTACCACTTGAACCACAGCTCCATTTCTGACTTTGTGGTATTTTATTGGAGAGAAGACTTTCCTGTCAGGCTGGCTTCATATTGCAATCCTCAGCTCTCTGCCTCCTGAGTAGCTAGAATCACCCAAGTGAGCCACTGGTGCTCAGAGGAAAAAAAAAATTTTAAATTTCTTATGAATACATTATTATTATTTTTGTTGGTCATGGGGCTTGAACTCTGGGCCTGGGCGCTGTCCCTCAGCCCTTCAGTTCAAGGAAAGCACTCTACCCCTTGAGCCACAGAGCCACTTCCAGTTTTCTGGTGATTAACTGGATATAATGGCCTTCCTGCCTGGGCTGGCTTTGAACTGTGATCTTCAGATCTCAGCCTCCTGAGTAGCTATAATTATTGGGGTGAGCCATCGGCACCCAGCTTGAACACATCGTTTTCAAGGCACAGAAAGGAAGAACAATGTTGGAGCATGGCTCAAATGGGATGCTGGGAAAGTGCTGGGCTTCAGTTCAAACCCAGTACTACTGAAAAAAGGAAAAACAACAATAACAAAAGAACAGCTTCTTTTCAAACCTCTTTTTTGAGTTAAGGGAGCAGTGGAAGAAGCAAACTGATGGTTTCTACACCAACAGCAATGAAAAAGAAAAGAAAGTGAGGACCACATAATCAGGTCTTAAAAACCTTCTCACCACAACCCTGTGAAGCCTGACACCTGTCCCCCTGTGTCGCTGCTCACAAACTGAATGCAGATACGGACTCACAGGTTACATAAGCTGATAGGCTAGTTTCTTGGCCTGACTGCAATAGAATTTTCATTTTAATCAACTAGAAGCGCAGAGACTGACACCAGCCTTACTCCATATTTTGATTCCAAAGTCATCAGTCACTACTTAGTACGACACTGGATTTAAAATGTAGCACTCACCTGTAGATCATACGGTTTTCCAGCCCGCACTAAGAAACTCAGTAATATACTGGTGTGTGCAAAATGGACATTCTCATCCAAGAACCCGTGTAAAAGTAGTAAGCGGTTTGGTCTGGAGAAGTAAGGACGTTAGAAATAGGAACATTAGATAGTGAGGCAAAAAACAGAAGAGTAGAAGGAACCATTAAATTTCTTTAAACCACTCATACCATGCGGTAGCCACTTCTTTACATTGTATTGTTAAGGATTCCATATATTCAATATTAAGCTTTTAAAATTAAATTTCCAATATACTTATCAGATGTCACATGTTATGAAAGGTTACAAAGAGATCCTGTGTTTAATTTCTTATTTCAATACTAGAAACACAACAATTACAGCATGGCCCTAGAAAAATTGTTTGTAAAATATGTTTATTTAGATATAGAACTTTTCTCACCTTCAAATAGTCTGTGTCTAATTTATTTCCGTCTAAGCAACGGCTTCAAATATAACTTGTTAAAAAAAACAAAACAAAAATACAGTAAACGCACTAGACCTTGATTTGGTTTTGAGAAGCCACCATGCCATTCTATAGAATTCTACAAATGTTTGTCTTTAGTTTACAGTATTTGAAGTTCTCATTATTAGTAGTCTTAAAAAAAAAAAAAAAGACCCATGATTTAAATTCATAACCTTAATTTCAAAGCGTGAACTTACTCAGAGGGGAACTTCTCTGCTTGCATGGCCACAGACCCTAAATAATAGCCCTGCTCGTTCTGGTCAGGGTGGCCCATGTACCGTTCCGTGTAGCCTGTGTCATAGAAGATCCACAAAGTCACAGGGGCCCCTGCAATAGCAACCTGCAGATGACAACACCATGGTCAACCGTGCTTCAGAACCCAGCAGCAAGTGATGAGGATTCACGATTGCAAACTGACAGCTAAAATTATCCCTAGGCTCTAGTCCCACTACTGGCCACACACGGGCTCAGGTGACCCAGAAGTAAAGTGCCAATGTCAGAAATCGGACACAGTGTGAGTCAGTACGTTTCATGTTCTTCAGGCATGCTCCATACCAAATCCTAAACTTAGGCTAGCTGAAATACAGTGTGTTCTTTTATTAAAAGCAGAGATGGATGCAGTACATCCATCTAGCCTGGGTGGAAATTACATGGGACTCTCTAAAAACTGGTCTGGAGGTGTGGCTCAAGTAATAGAGTGCCTTACTTTAAGATTCCTATGGTTTTATTTTTTTCTTTCTTCAGGTAAGGGGTAGGTTTATTCATCATTCCGGCTGGCACCAGGCCATTTTGGTCCTCCACACGGTGGGGAAAGGTCTGGGAAAGAGAGCTGGGAAAGAGGGAGAAAGAGCTAGAAAAGAGAGAAAAGAATTCGAAAAGAGAGCGTCTGGGAAAGGTGGGAAAGAAAGAGCTAGGAAAGAGAAGGTGGGAAAGGGAGAGCTAGGAAAGAGAAGAGAGCTGGGAAAGAGAAGAGAAAGAAAGAGCTGAGAAAGAGCTAGAAAAGAGTAGATTCCTATGGTTTTATGTTTAAATGTTCTGATTACTTTCTTGATGGCTAAAAGCAAGTGATAAGGCAATATTCAGCTATTATAAAGATTATCTGAGCTAGGTGCTGGTAGTCCATGCCTGTAATCTTAGCTACTGAGGAGGCTGAGATCTGAGGATCCGAGTTCAAAGCCAGAAAGTCCATTAGGTTCTTACTGCCAATTAAACAGTAAAAAGCCAGAAGCAGAGCTATGGCTCTAATGGTAGAGCTCTAGTCTTGAGCACAAAAGCTCAGGGACAGTGCCTAGGCCCTGAGTTCAAGCCCAGGACCAGTACACACACACACACACACACACACACACACACACACACACACACACACACACACACACACACACACACACACACGAAACAAAAAGATAACATCTGAATATACACAAGAACAAAAACCCTATTATCTGTTTTTTATTATTTTTTTTCACAACTGAGGACTGAACTCAGGGCCTTGCATATACTAGTCAAGCACTCTAACCACCACCACTCCCAGTACTTGTGTGTGGTTTCACTGAAATAGGATCTTGCTATATATAGCTATATATAGCCTAAGCTAGACTGGAACTTGCAATCCTCCTACCTTAGCTTTTGTGTTTGGTGCTGGTCCTGGGGCTTGAGCTCAGGGTTTGGGGCTGTTCCTAAGCTATTTTTGCTCAAGGCTAATACTACCACTTAAGAAACAGTTCCATTTCTGGCTTTTTGCTGGCTAATTAAAGAGTCTCACAGACTTACCTTGCCAGCTGGCTTTGTTAAATTATAAGCATGTAAACATTCAACAATTCAACATTCAACACAAATTTATTATATCTACTCTGTGCCAAGCATTGTAGAACATGGCTGTGATGATTATAATTAGTGATGTAGAGGGTAAAGAATTTGTAGTTTGATAATTAAATAAGTAATTACAAACTAGTATGTATGTGTGCATTCTACTAATGACTACTTACCAAATACACACACATACATACACACAATTCACGAGATACAAACCCTAACATTCTATAATATCAGTAACTCAGTCAACTGTCAGAAAATAAGCATTTTTATATATCTACAACTTACAGGAAATTTTGTCCTTATTGCAAGAATGAGTACAACAGGATGTCACGTACCCTGAAGATATCTGACCTCTGCATTAATGCCATCAGGGAGAGGTATCCTCCATAGGACCAGCCATGGATGCCCACGCGATCTAAGTCAATGAAATCATATTGAGAGGCGAGATATTGGAGTCCTTCCACTTGATCGTCGATTTCTATTTGACCCTGTCCAAAAAAAAAAAAAAAAAGGGAACACTTTACTGGTTCTAATGCTTAAAAAGTTCCATAAAAATGCCTTTAGAGTATATAAATATTTTTACTAAAATACTTGTAGGTTTTTTTTTTTCCAGATTATATTCATAGCCAAATGTGATGGTACATGCCTGTAATCCCAGCTCTCAGGAGGTGGAGGCAGAAGGCTCACAGTTGAAAACAAGCCTGGGCTATATAATATTGCAAGACCCTGTCTCAAAAAAAAAAAAAAAAAAAAAAAAAACCAAACCCCAAAGCCAGGCACCTATGGCTTACACTAGCTACTCAGGAGGCTGAGATCTGAGCATCATGGTTCAAAACTAGCCCAGCAGGAAAATCTTAAACTCCAATTAATAACCAAAAGCTGAAAGTGTAGACATGACTCAAAAAAAGCTCAAGGACAGCACCAGACCTAGAGTTCAAGCCTTAGGACCATACACAAAAGAAAAACAAAACCAAAAAACAAACAATCCCACCCCCAACCCCAAAACAAAACAAAAAAAAAGAGAAAGCAAAAACACAAACAGGTTAGAATTCACTCCTTAAAATTAGAATTCACTAGTTATTAAAAAAAAAAGAAAAAGGTGGTGGTGGGGTTGGGAATGTGGCTCAGTGGTAGAGTGCTTGCCTAGCATGCATGAAGCCCTGGATTTGATTCCTCAGTACCACAGACACAGAAAAAGCTGGAAGTGGGGCTATGGCTCAAGTGGTAGAGCTACAGAGGGCTCAGGGTCAGAGCCCAGGCCATTCCCCCCACCCCCCAAAAAAATAATCTGTTTAGAGATAGAAGCCCATTTCTTTTGCTAGTCTGTCCTGGAGTTTAGTTACCATTTAGTCCTCAAGCTTTCTTATTGCTCCACAAACTTTCCTTTACTGTTGGGCTCCTATTTCTATTTGTTCTGTTGTCTGCCAAGAGTTCAGCATCTTTCTTGTAACAAGCCTTCCTATTTAGAAAAACAAGAACTTAGCCCCCTTAAGAGACAAGATCGTTTTATGTCTCCTGAAGTAAAGCGGAAGGAATCATTCCTGAGGCCCTAAACTTCCTATTTCCCCAAAACACTCCATGGAGAAATGGAGCCTACAGTTTTTTCCAGGCCCTATTATGCCCTGATTGCTACCACTACCACTCTGTCTAGTGACTTGGCCTGCCAGTGCACACAATCTTGCTTCACTGAGCCAAAAACAAAAATGAAAACGACAACAAAAAACTTACATGAGAATACAATATAAGGTCAAAGAACTGGCCCCATGTCTCACTCAGCATGTCCAATACACTGGCAAACACAGTGACTGCCTTACTGTGTGCAAAAGGAACATCAGATTCTCATCATTTCCCAAAGCAGCAGAAAGGACATGGGGCATCTCTAAAAGGTAGCATTTAAAGCTTCCTGCAGAGAGAAAGAGGCTTGTCACAAGGAAGGCGCTAACCAGAAGGTTTCCCTCTTCACAGAGGACAGAACAAACCTCCATTACGTATTGCTCACAGCTTATGGGATGCTGAAAACTAAATGGGGCTGCCATTTGCCTAAGGTGGACACACAGAGGGTGCTGCTTGCTCTGAAAAGTGGCTTGATCTCAGCTCCCCAAAGTTCTGTCAGGCCTGAGCTAGCCTAATGTGCTTCTAGTAGCATCTTCCCTCCCACCACACACACACACACACACACACACACACACCACACACACACACACACACACACACACACACACCTCTCAGTTTCTCTCTCTCCCACCTTTCTCCAGAATTTCACACTAAACAATGCACCAGGAAATACAAATGTCTGTAGGAGACAAAGATCTTATGCTCACACACCATTTTGTATTTAAAGGCGCCTTCAAATTTAAGCCCTCGGTGACAGGATCCCCGGTTGTCTATCACTACAACCACATAACCCAGAGAGGCGAGTGTATTCAAGCGGAAATACTTGACTCCTTTGAACCGATTATTCACCAACTGCACCTGAAGGAGAAAACATATTTTCAGTGACATTTACTATACAGCAGCCCATGAACTACAGAGAGGCAAGGCTTGGCAAGAAGTAGAAAGCTTAAAGCTTTCACATTATTTGCCTTTAAAATATATCTTTTAAGCTGCGCGCCGGTGGCTCACGCCTGTAATCCTAGCTAGTGAGGAGGCTGAGATCTGAGGATCACCGTTCAAAGCCAGCCTGGGTAGAAAAGTCCCTGAGACTCTTATCTCCAATAAACCACTAGAAAGCCAGAAGTAGCGCTGTGGCTCAAGTGGTAGAGTGCTTGCCTTGAGCTGAAGAGCACAGAAACAGTGCCCAGGCCCAGAGTTCAAGCCCCACGACCGACAAAACACACACACACATTTTTTTTTTTTTTTGATTTCATGAAGTGGACTTTAATGTGAAAAGTTAGTGTAAAAAAACAGTCAAGGGGCTGGGGAGGTGGCTCAGTGGTAGAGCGCTTGCTTTGCATGCATGAGGCCCTGGGTTCGATTCCTCAGCACCACATAAGTAAAATAAGAAAAAAAGCTGGAAGTGGCGCTGTGGCTCAAGTAGTAGAGCCCTAGCCTTGAGCTGAAGAGCTGAGGGACAGTGCCCAGGCCCAGAGTTCAGGACCCACGACTGGACCCCCCCCCCAAAAAAAAAAAACACATTCAAATTCATAAAATTTAAATAAGACAGTAAAATTATACCTTGTAGCTATAGCAATCACAAATAAGGTAAAGACTAAATTATTGCCTAAGCAAACACTCTTTTATTATATTTATTTATTTTTGTCAGTCCTGGGGCTTGAACTCTGGGCCTGGTTGCTGTCCTTGAGCTCTTTTGTTCAAAGCTAGAGCTCTACCACCTGGAGCAACAGCGCCACTTCTGGTTTTCTGGTGGTTAAGTAGAGATAAAAGTCTCATGGTCTTTCCTGCCTGGCTAGCTTTGACCCATGATCCTCAGGTCTCAGTCTCCTGAGTAGTTAGGATTACAGCTGTGAGCCACCAGGGCCTGGCTTGATTTTAAAATTTTCAAAGAGTGGGGCGCTGGTGGCTCAGGCCTGTAATCCTAGCTACTCAGGAGGCTGAGATCTGAGGACGATGGTTCAAAGCCAGCCTGGGCAGGAAACTCCATGAGACTCTTATCTACAATAAACCACCAAAAAACCAGAAGTGGTGCTGTGGCTCAAGTGGTAGAGCACTCACCTTGAGCTGAAGAGCTAAGGGACAGCACCCAGGCCCAGAGTTCAAGCCCCATGACCGACAAAAAAATAAAATAAAATCAAAGAAATTGAATTTAATACTTTTATAATTTGTCTAGGTGACCATAATAGAAATATAAATCATGTTTTGTCTGTAAGAGCACTTAATAACAGTTAAGTGATTTAATTTAATTGCAGGACCAGCATCCTTGAGATTTGATCACTTATGTGATTATTTGACTTGCACGTTGTTTTTTGTATAACTAGGTATACATTTTCAGACAATATTGGTATAATTATAAGGGATATTAATGAGTCTAAGAGTGTCATTATCAACACACTAATTATATTCTATGTTAATTAAGGGCTCAATGGAAAATGTATAATTAAGGGTAAAAGTTTACTTAGTGTTGGTACTGGGGCTTGGAATCCAGTGTTTATGCTCTTGGTCAGCTTTTTTTGCTCATGATTGGTGCTCTACCACTTAAGCTACAGATCCATTTTGGCTTTTTGCTGGTTAAGTGGAGAGAAGAATCTCTTGGATTTGTCTGCCTGGGTTATCTTTGAACCTCAATCTTCCTAACTAACTAGGATCATAGGCATGAACCACACACAGGTGGGCTGGCTTAAGCATCAAGCATCTTATTTTAAATTTTTAGTTATTTATTTTTTTGTCAGTCATGGGGCTTGAACTCTGGGCCTGAGTGCTGTCCCTCAGCTCTTCAGATCAAGGCTAGCATTCTACCACTAGAGCCACAGTACCACTTCCCGTTTTCCGGTGGTTTATTGGAGGTAAGAGTTTCAAGGCCTTTCCTTCCTGGACTGGTTTTTTTTTTTTTTGTCGGTCGTGGGGCTTGAACTCTGGGCCTGGGCGCTGTCCCTCAGCTCTTCAGCTCAAGGCGAGCGCTCTACCACTTGAGCTACAGCGCCACTTCCAGTTTTCTGGTGGTTTATTGGAGATAGGAGTCTCACAGTCTCTCCTGCCCGGGCTGGCTTTGAACCGCGATCCTCAGATCTCAGCCTCCTGAGTAGCTGGATTACAGGCGTGAGCCACCAGTGCCTGGCTCCTGGACTGGTTTTGAACTGCAATCCTCAGATCTCAGCCTCCTGAGTAGCTAGGATGACAGGACTGAGCAACTGGTGTCTGGCTAAAATTTTACTTATTTTTTGGGGGATGTGGGAGACCAAGTAGAAGGCAAGAGTAAACATTAAAAAAAACTGATTAAGGCACAGCACTGGTGGCTCATGCCTGTAATTCTAGCTATTCAGGAGGCTGAGATCTGAGGATCACAGTTTGAAGTGAGTCTAGGCAGAAAAATTTCCATAAGACTCTTGGTTTGTTTGTTTGTTGGTCCTTGGTCATGGGGCTTGAAATCTGGGCCTGGGCGCTGTCCCTGAGCTCTTCAGCTCAAGGCTAGTGCTCTACCACTTGAGCCACATTGCCACTTCTGGTTTTCTGGTGGTTTATTGGAGATAAGAGTCTGAGGGAGTTTCCTGCCTGAGCTGGCTTTGAACTGTGATCCTCAGATCTCAGCCTCCTGAGTAGCTAGAATTACAAGTGTGAGTCACCAATTCCTAGCTCCCTTGAGACTCTTACCTCCAATTAATCACTCAAAAGCCAGAAATGAGCTGGGGTTCTAAGTAGTAGAGCACTAGTCTTGAGCAAAAACACTCAGGGATAGCGCTCAGGCCCTGAGTTCAAGCCCCATGACTGACAAAAAAAAAACAAACCAAATAAACAAAAAAAAATCAACTACGCAATTTATCTATCCAAAATAGTTGACTCTGTGTGCCAATGGCACAGTTAATAGCCAGATGCTAATACTTAATCCTGTAGTTATATAAAAATGTCTTTCCAGATTAAAAACTATTCCAATTTGCCTGAGAGATGTAGCCTTATAATAAAGGAGAAATTTACTAGGCTACTGAGCCTTTCTGAAATCTGACTCTTTTTATTTGCCAAGACATTTAATTATTTAATTTAATTTCCCAACAAGTTTCTCTACACAAACAGTAACATATTTACCTCCTAACATTAACAGTCCATTCCTACAACAGTTATACTCCTCACTGTGAAAGTAAGAAACTGACACCAATTTACCAATTAGCCATACAAACTAAAATACCCAGCCTTCTGAACCTCTACACTGGATTGCAAAAATTGGAAACAACATAAGCCAAACATATATGCATGTGTGTACATTGGGATGTATTTCTACACCTACCTGGGGACCGCCATATATGAATATTACAGTGGGGTATTTCTTTCCAGGTTGTAGGTCATGAGGTTTGTACAGCATTCCATACAATGTGAATCCCGTTGTACTTTCAAAAGAGAAAATCTCAGGAGGGGTATAGTCGGGAAGAGGACCTAGAAGGAGGTAACACACAAGTCTGTAAAAGGAGTTGAATGGGAGTTCTATAAACGGAGAGCAAGGAAGGAAATATCAAAACGCAGACCTCCATACACAAACAACTGGCCTTCCTTTTCAGGTGAGATAACCAAGAATATTTATATTAGAGAAAAAAATAGGGCTGGGAAGGTGGCTCAGTGGTAGAGTGTTTGCCTTGCATGCATGAGGCCCTGGGTTTGATTCCTTGGCACCACATAAGCAGAAAAAGCCAGATATAGCACTGTGGCTCAAGTGGTAGAGTGCTAGCCTTGAGCTGAAGAGCTGAGGTACAGTGCCCAGGCCCAGAATTCAGGCCACACGACTGACAAAAAAAAAAGAAAAAAAAAATCTAACAAACATTCATTTATCTACTGTGAATTTTAATAAAGTCAGGAGGAGGATAAAGAACACATACTTAGTTTGAGTTGTTAGTACACATTAGTTTCTGATCATTAAGGAATAAGCCAAACAAGAAGTAGCTACAAGTCTTCGGTCCAGCAAGGCTGCACCAGTCTCTTCTCAGCATGTGCGCAGTGGATGGCATTAAGGTCACAGCTGTGATCATGGTAACACTGAAAATTCTGCTCATGGACATTAGAACAGCCTCTGGTTATACATTTTTTATTGATTGATTTTTTTGGGTGCTGGTCCTGGGGCTTGAACTCAGGGCTGCGCCCTTTTCTCTGAGCTTTTGTGCTCAAGGATAAAATTCTACCACTTTAGTCACAGCTCCACTGTTAGTTTTTTTTAATAATTAATTGGAGATAAGAGTTTCATAGGCTTTCCTACTCGGCTGGCTTCAAACCTTGATCCTCAGATCTTAGCCACCTAAGTATCTAGGTTTACAGGTGTAAACCACTTACATGGGCTGCACTAACTTGAATCCCTTAGCAGATAAAAATAAGTTGAAAATACTTCACAGGAAAACAGATTTCCCTAAATCTGTTAAAACTGGGTTAAAATTGGTCCATACTTCATACTTTAGAAATCAAGCATTAAAAAAGAATAGGTAGGGCTGGGAAGGTGGCTCAGTGGTAGAGCGCTTGTCTTGCATGCATGAGGCCCTGGGTTCGATTCCTCAGCACCACATAAGCAAAAAGAAAAAAGCCGGAAGTGGTGCTGTGGCTCAAGTGGTAGAGCGCTAACCTTGAGCTGAAGAGCTGAGGGACAGCACCCAGGCCCAGAGTTCAGGCCCCATGACTGGACCAAAAAAAAAAAAAAAAAAAGAATAGGTAATTTATAGTATTATTTACTCCAACAAGAGTAAGTAGTCAGTGAAAGTACTTCAAAACTGTAAAAAATCTGCTGGTGGTGGCTCACGCCTATAATCCTAGCTACTCAGGAAGTTGAGATCTAAGGATCATGGTTCAAAGCCAGCCTGGGCAGGAAAGTCTGTGAGACTTTTTTTTTTGTTGTTGGTCGTGGGGTTTGAACTCTGGGCTTGAGCGCTGTCTCTACGCTCTTCAGCTCAGGGTGAGGGCTCTACCGCTTGAGCCACAGTGCCACTTCCAGTTTTCTAGTGCTTTATTGGAGATAAGAGTTTCACGGACTTTCCTGCCTGGGCTGGCTTCAAACCACGATCCTCAGATCTCAGCCTCCTGAGTAGCTAGGATTACAGCGTGAGCCATCAGCACCCAGCTTCTGTGAGATTCTTATCTCCAATTAACCACCAGAAAACTGGAAGTGGTGCTGTGGCTCAAGTGGTAGAGCACTTGCCCTCAGCTGAAGAGCTCAGGGACAGTGCTCAGACTCAGAGTTCAAGCCCTACGCCGAAAACACAAAAGGAAAAAAAAACTAAAAAATCTGTAATATTTGCCCCTAAAGCTGCAGCCTCTCTGTTCAGTTCAGAGAAAATTGTTTTAATCTTATTTTCCACAAAGCTTTGCAGATCTGGTCTTTCATAGGCTGCTAGACAATGCTTTCAAATTCAATAGGTGGCACAAAAGGAGTGGCAGGACCAATTAGGAGCTCAGCTGCTTAGAAACAGGGCAGGGCTGGGAGGTGGGAAGACTGTCCTGGAGATGGGGACATAAGATAACGCAGGCTTAGGGTAGTGTGTCCTAATCTTTCTTAAATCCAGACCAGGAAAAGGATTACCTGCAGAATCCAAAATGGTAGCCCAAAATTCCTTTGTTTTGCAAGCTGGGTCATTTGGGTCATTTGCAAGTTGCTCAGGACTCATCAGTTTGTAAAGGGACACACAGTGTGGATTCTTCTGGTTACTATATTTACTTATGAAGAAGTCACAATGCTAGAGAAAGAAGAAACAATTATGTATTTCTGCAGGGAAAAGTGAAAGCAAGGCAACTTGCTGTTACATCTGTACTAATGCTATAGCAGAAGTGTAGTAAGAGTCTAACTATGTTTGGTCTCATGCTTAATAGGCAGGCACTCTATACCACTTGCACCATTCTGCCAGACCCTTTTTACATTATTGTCAAGATAGGATCATGCTTTCTGCCCAGAATGGCCTGGACCGAGATCCTATTTGTACGTCTCTGTTGCTGGGATGATGGCTCATGTCACTGTGCCTATGTGCCCAGCTATTGGCTGAGGTAAAAATCTCAACTCTTATTTTTTGTTGTTGTTGGTTATGATTCAAGCCCCATAAGAGTTGGAGATAAGTTTCACAGACTTTCCTGCCTGGGCTGGCTTTGAACTGTTATCTTCAGATCTAAGCCTCTTGAATAGTAAGATTACAGGCGTGAGCCACCAGTGCCTGGCTTCTCAAGAACTGTTATGCTTGGATTAGCCTTGATTTGTGAGTCCCCAGTCCACTGCCCAAGTAGTTAGGATTAGCTGAGTTTGACAATTTATGCAAATATATAATGCTGAATAAAGGTTAAGTGTTTCAGACTTTTTTTTTTTTCCTTTTTCAGTTCTGGGGCTTGAACTCAGGGCCTGGGCACTGTTCCTGAGCTTATTTTGCTCAAGGCTAGCCTCTACCACTTGAGCTACAGCATCACTGCTGGCTTCTTCTGTTTATGTGGTACTGAGGAATTGAACCCAGGGATTCATGCATGCTAGACAAGCACTCTACCACTAAGCCACATTCCCAGCCCCAGGTTAAGTGTTTCAAAGATTTCCTCTGGCATGGTTTCTACAGGCCAACATGACCAACTTTCACACCATCATCATTCACAAAGAGTACTTCATGATTAGAGGTTTTTTTCTGACAGGAGACCCTTTTCCAGCAGAGACTTAATACCTGACTGATACAGCAAGAGTGGGAGAAGCCACGGTCAGTCAGCCTCGTCACTTCTCCAGGATTTACATAACTGACCACGTATAGGTGATGCTCTAAAGGGGAATCTTTGGTGCCTTCAAAATACACCAGCTTTCTGACTTCATCAACCTGGATCTGCCAAAATAACAACAACAGCACCATTAGTACTAGTAAGACATGGGTAAGAGCAGAAACTCAATAATCCATTTCCAATTCTGTCATCAGAGTCCTTTGACTTGGGCATCTTTCATTTTTATTTGCTATTGAAGCTAATGAACTAGAGTTAGTTTTGGTTATGACTTAGAGTTAACAGATCCTGTCTGGAAGGAAAAATACAGCTGAGTTATATACTTTTTGGTTAGAATGTGTGCTTCCCTGAAAAGGTAAGAATTAGCTGTGTGCCAGTGGCTCACACCTGTCATCCAAGGTGAGGTGGTTGAGATCTGATGGCCAAGATTTGAAACCTGGGCAGACAAATCTGAGAGAGAGGTTTTCTTTTCTTTTTTTTTTTTAATGTGGTACTGAAGCATCGAACCCAGGGCTTCATGCATGCTGGGCAAACACTCTACCACTAAGCCATCTTCCCAGCCCCTGAGAGGAAGGTTGTTATCTCCACCTAGCCAGCAAAAAGTGGTAAAGCAAGAGCCTTAATAAGCAAAAAGGCTAAGCAAGAGCATAAAGGCCTCAATTTAAGCCCCAGTACTGCCCACTCCACCTCTCCCTACTTATTTCCTTAAGTAAGGATTTTTTGGGGGGTGGGGCAGTCAAACCCAGGGTCTTGTGCATATTAGGCAAATGCTCTGCACTGGGCTGTATCCTTAGCCCTGGATAAGATCAGTCAGCACCTCCAAAAACTGCACAGAAACTCAGGACTGAATTTACTTAATTCTGCTCCCAAATGACAGTAATAGTTCTTTTATTTTTCCTTAAAAAAAAAAAAAAAAAACACTTTTTCAGTAGTTTACTCAAAGTTTAGTAAAATAAAAACTTTTTATATAGTGAAGATAATTTATACAGATTTTTATTTTAGTTTTTTGTGCTGAAACTGGGGCTTGAACTCAGGGCCTGTATGCTTCCTTGAGCTCTTTTGCTCAAGGCTAATACTCTACCATTCAAGGCACAGCTCACTTTTTTTTTTTTTTTTTGTCAATGGAGGAGCTTGAATTCTGGGCCTGGGTGCTGTCCCTGAGCTCTTCAGCTCAAGGCTAGCACTCTACCACTTGAGCCACAGCACTACTTCTGGTTTTCTGGTGGTTTATTGGAAATCAGAGTCTCACTGACTTTCGTGCCCAGGCTGGCTTTGAACCACGATCCTCAGCCTCCTGAGTAGTTAGGATTACAGGCATGAGCCACCTGCACCTGGCTCACTTTTCGCTTTTTAGTAGTTAATTGGAGATAGTCAGCTTGGGGACTTCAAACTAAAATCCTTAGATCTCAGCCTCAGGAGTAACTAGGATTATAGGTGCAGGTGGGAGCCACTCAGTTAAACTTCTTTAAATGTTTTCTTTTTTCAAGGAAAACTCTCTAACATCTTAGATACCTACATTGTTAGATATTTTAGATGCTTGAGTTGCTCTGCAAAAATATTCAAGAGGCCGGGCGCCGGTGGCTCATGTCTATAATCCTAACTACTCAGAGGAGGCTGAGTTCTGAGGATTGCGGTTCAAAGCCAGCCAGGGCACAAAAGTCTATGAGACTCTTATCTCCAATAAACCACTCAGAATACCAGAAGTGGCATTGTGGCTCAAGTGGTACAGTGCTCCCCTTGAGCGTGAAGCGCTCAAGCCCAGGCCCAGATTTTAAGCCCCACGACTGACAAAAAAAAAAAAATTCAAGATTTTTCACAGGTATGAAATAGTAGTTTTGAAGCAGCTGGGGATCATGCCTTTCAAAGCTGAAATAATAATCAATTCCTTGTGCCTCATTTACAATGTTTTTTTTGTTTGGCTTGTTTTGTTTCAAGGAACAGCTTTCTGTTCAACAGGAGTTGATTGTCTTTCAGGGTGTACTGGATGCACAGTTGAGTCCCATACTATAGTTTTTGACCAGGAGATCTGAATCTGGATTTCTAACAAGTTCCACAGGGATGTGGATGTTTTGCTGCAGGCTGAGGATACACTAAGAGGTTCCCTTTCAACATGGGGCATGAGATAAAGTCTCAAAGTTTTATCCAGTTATTGCTATTAGACTTTTTTTGGTGCTGTTCCTGGGGCTTGAACTCAGGGCCTGAGCACTGTTCCTGAGCTTTTTGTGTGCAAGGCTAGTGCTTTACCACTTGAGCCACAGCTCTGCTTCTGGCTGTTTTGGTGAATACATGGAGATAAGAGTCTCATCGACTTTTCTGACCAGGATGACCCCGAACTGTGATTCTCAGATCTCAACTTCCTGAGTATTACAGGTATGAGCCACCAACACCTAGCTTGCCATTAGAAATTCTAAATAATGAATAATTTGAGGCTGAGTTCAATTCCCAGTACTGTTGGGGGAAAAACAAATCTTTGTGTGAGATCAAGGCCATTTGCAAAAGCAAAGAAGAAAAGGTAACTTAAAGACAAAACAAACAAGTAAGACTATAGGGAAGGAGAGAGCAAACATGCCATACACAAACGTGTCATAGGAGAACTGATGTATATAGTGGTAAACTACTGGCCAAATAAGGCTGAAGGTCTATGCTTGCTAGGTAGGTATTCTACCACTGAGCCATACTAGTAGGTTTTTTGCACAGTTTTTTTTTTCTTTTAAATTATTACATGTCTCTCTTTTTTCCATAGGAATTTCCCCAAACATTTAAAATCCATAGTTTTCACTGAATATACAGCCTAAACCATAGCAATCTATGATTATGTCATTTTACACTTGCACAGATTATTTTTGAGATAGGATTTTACTTCTTACCTGGGGTTTGCTCAGCATTACCCTCCTACCATCATATTGCATGAAATTTAAAATAATGCAAATTCTTATTAGCAGAAACTAGAATTCCTGAATAAGACTTTTTTCCCCCCTATGGTAGGACTAACATTCAAAGTTCCTAAACAGAAAAATAAATATATTGGGACATACAAACAAAAGGTCAGGTGAGTCTCTCACTGGAACTAGATTTTGAAAGTTACCTAAGACAGTCTAAAGATTTTACAACCCAAAATAAATGATTTCTGAAATAACCAGTATACTCAATCTCTATCAACTTGAAATTCTATTTAGGACTTTATTAAATCCTGATGGAATATGAAATATATAATTTAACATCCTTTCTCCATGTATAGAAAAGGTGGAGTTTTAATTTAAGAGATCTGGTGAAATGGACTGCCTAATTCAAAGTCAAGCAAAAGATACTAGGAAAAGCAATAAAAGAAACATGCATCCTAGCTACTCAGTAGGCTGAGATCTGAAGATTGCAATTTGAAGCTAGCCCAGGCAGAAAAAGTCTGAGTGACTCTTTTTTTTCTGAGTGACTCTTAATCTCCAATCAATCACAGAAGTGGAGCTGTGGCTCAAAGTGGTACAGTGATACCCTTAAGTAGAAATGCTCAGGACAGGGCACAGGCCCTGAGTTCAAGCCCCAAGACCACTAAAAACAAACAAACAAAAAACCCTCAAAAGATTTGTTACAGAAATCCACTTGCAATAGCCAGCGCCCAGTGGGTCACACCTGTAATCCTAGCTACTCAGGAGGCTGAGATCTGAGGATCACGGTTCGAAGCCAGCCCGGACAGGAAAATCTGTGAGATTCTTATCTCTAATAAACCATTCGAAAATCGGAAGTGGTGCTGTGGCTCAAGCGGTAGAGTGCTCGCCTTGAGCTAAAGAGCCCAAAGACATCGCCCAAGACCTGAGTTCAAGCCCCACGACTGACCAAAAAAGAAAAAAAAAATCTACTTGCAGAGAGCAAAATCAGTGCATTTCCTTTCCCCTACCTTTTATCTAAGCTGTGTATAAATGCAATCACTTTTTTTTGTTGTTGGTCGTGGGGCTTGAACTCTGGGCCTGAGCGCTGTCCCTCAGCTCTTCAGCTCAAGGTGAGTACTCTACCACTTCAGCTATCGCACCACTTCTGGTTTTCTGGTGGTTTACTGGAGATCAGAGTTTCGCGGACTTTCCTGGCTTTGAACTGCGATCCTTAGATCTCAGCCTCCTGAGTAGCTAGGATTACAGGCATGAGCCACTGGTGCCTGGCTTTTGTTTTTAGTCATTTCTTTTTTAGTATTGTGGATCAAACCCAGGACATTGCACTTGCTAGGCAAGCACTTTGCCACTAAGTGACATCCCAGTCCCTTAAAATATTACTATTATTAATTATTTGTAGTGTTAGGGTTTGAACTCAAGGCTTTGTGTTTTCAAGGCAGGTGTTGTAAAACCTAAACAATACTCCCAATAAGCAACTGTACTTTTTTTTTGTCTTTTCTTTTTTGGGTACCGGGGATCAAACCCAGGACATTACACTTACTAGGCAAGCACTCTGCCACTGAGCTACATCCCAGCCCTATACCTGGACTTTGATATTCCTATGCTTTGATTCCTGTTAAAGCTAGGGTGTCAGGTGGGCACGACCAAGCTCAGGTTCTTTCACTGAAAAAGCTTCACAGACTTTTCTGCCTGGACTGGCCTGAAGCTGTGATACTCTTGATTCAGCCTCCCATTAGCTGGGATGACAGGTACACACCATTGTACCCAACCACTGGTTGAGAAGGGGGTCTTTTTTTTTCTTCTAATTTACTTTATTGTTGTTTTAGAGGTGATATACAGCAGGGGTACCTTTACAGGTAGTATCATCTGTTCCCTCATTCTCTCCCATTCCCTCCCTCCTGAGAAGAGTGTCCTCAGTTTTGCCCTGGCTGGCCTCAAAGTGCAACCCTCCTATTCTAGCCTCCCATTAGGATTACAGGTATGAGCCACCAGCAACTAGTATATTTTAAACTCTTTTCTTGACCAAACGTATCAGTAGAATAAAAGGACATACATTAGATCCATGCCGACCAAGAACTTCCCATTCACCACTGGTAATCGCTATTTCCTCTTTGATTGGACACTTGAAATCACCTAAAAAATACAATTACAGTTCAGTACTTTATGCCAACTAGAAGCAAATGAAGCAATGTAGAATAGTTTTCTGTCTTCTCCAAAATGCTATTTAAAAAAAAAATCAAAGTTATATTTAGGAAAATGAAAATGATTTGGAACTAAACAAATGTTAGTGGTATATGACATTGCAAAGTCCTACATGTCATGGCACTGTTTAAAGAAATGGCTCATTTAATGTTATGTCAATTAACTCTGATAAAAAAGGCTAGAGTGGAAAAAAAAATCCAAGTATTCAGTGTTCAGAATGATAGAAGGACCTACACAGAAGATGTGAAAACAGCAAGTGAGGAAAAAAAATCTCAAAAGAACCTGCATTAAAAAAAATTTTTTTTTTTGGCCAGTCCTGAGGCTCAAATTCAGGGCCTGGATGCTGTATCTGAGCTTCTTTTGCTCAAGGCTAGCACTCTAACTCTTGAGCCACAGAGCTACTTCTGGCTTTTTCTGTTTATGTGGTACTTAGGAATCTAACCCAGGGCTTTGTGCATGCTAGGCAAGCACTCTACCACTAATTCACATTCCCAGCCCAGAATCTGCATTTTTAAACTTTGGGTAGACAAAGAGGCTTTACAGAGATGACAGGCATTTCTTGAGATATAACAATCTATTTAAAAACCAAAGAAGAAAAAAAAAAAACAATGAACACAATTGGTCTTCATTTGCCAAAAAAGGAAGCTAAGTAAGTTTTACTAAATTAAATGCCAACATGCCCTGTCAGTCAAGATTCTGTTTTGAGGAAGTGAAATAAAAAAATTTTCACTAGCTGGTTAAATGTGTGGCAGTAAGGGTTGTAATAAAGCTGAAGATGCAAAATTAAACTTAGTAATTTAAACTATACAGATTGAAAATAAAGCATTGTTTAATACATTTATGATAACAAGTATATATTACCAGTTTCCATTATATCTACTTAAGGAAGATAAAAGGAGGCAGCAGAAGGGATGTAAAATGGACACGAAGAGAAGGAAACAACACACACACACACATACACACACTCACAAATACAAAAGAAAAAAGATCCGGACGCATGTGCCTCATACCTGTAATCCTAGCTACTCAGGAGGCTGAGATCTGAAGATCACAGTTCAAAGCCAGGCTGGGCAGGAAAGTCCCTGAGACTCTTATCTCCAATAAACCAATAGAAAACCAGAAGTGGCGCTGTGGCTCAAGCGGTAGAATGCTCGCCTTGAACTGAAGAGAGCAGGGACAGCACCCAAGCCCAGAGTTCAAGCCCCACCACCAACCAAAAAGAAAAAACAGTCTGGCACTCTACTACTTGAGCCCCAGGCCACTTCTGGCTTTTTCTGTATATGTGGTACTGAGGAATCAAACCCAGGGTTTCATGCATGCTAGGCAAGCACTCTAACACTGAGCCACATCCTAGACTTGGGATATAGAATTTTAAATTACCATTTTACATTATTATTATATTGATATTATTATATCAATCAAGTTTTATTGTTAAACTTGCTGAAATTCCTTAAGTGAACATAATTTCTGACAACAGAGGAACATGAAAGAGAAATTTCAAACTCAGGGCTAGTCTAAGGCTCTAAGGAAAGAAATTCCCCATCTTGGATGTACAAGATCTTGTCTACTTTAAAACGTTTAAGCTAAGGAAAGACCCAGATAGTATTTACTTGTTAGTCTTAAGATGTAACTTAGGGCTGGGAATATGGTTTAGTGGTAGAGTGCTTGCCTAGAATGCATAAAGCCTTGGGCTTGATCCCTCAGTACCATAAAACAGAAAAAGCTGGAAGTAGCACTGTGGCTCAAGTGGCAGAGTGCTAGCCTTCAGCGAAATAAGCTCAGGGGCAGTGCCTATGCTCTAAGTTCAAGCTCCAGGACTGTCCAAAATAAAAAAAAAAAGTAACTCAACTGCTTCCCAAATATAAGTAGCAATAAAAAAATGCAATTAATAAGTGGGGAAAGAACTAGAACAAACAATTCTCTAAAAAAGATATAGAAGCTGGTATTGGAGGCTTACATCTGTAATCCTAGCTGCTCAGGAGGCTGAGATCTAAGGATTGTAGTTCAAAGCCAGCCCAGGCAGGAAAGTCCATGAGACTTTTATCTCCAATTAGCCACCAGTAGAGTGGTGCTGTGGCTCAAGTGGTAGAGTGCTCACCTTGAGCTGGAGAGCTCAGGCCCAGATTTCAAGCCCCATGACCAAGGACCAACCAAAAAAAGAAGATACACAAATCTGAAAATGTGGTTTTAAACCAGCCTGGGCAGGAAAGTCCATAAGATTCTTATCTCCAATTAACCACCAGAAAACTCGAAGTAGCACTATGACTCAAAGTGGTAGAGCACTAGCCTTGAGCCCAGATCCTGAGTTCTAGCCCCATGACCACCCCCCAAAAAAAGATATACAAATGGCCAATAAGCACAACAATAATCATTAAAGAAAGCAATATTAGGATAGATATTAGTAAAAAAAAACAAAACAGAAGTAACAAGTATTATTGAGAATGTAAAGTATTATTGAGCTGGATAGAGTGGTACACATTGGAATCCCAGCCCTTGGGAGGCTGAGATAAGAGGACTGACTTGCAAGTTCAAGATCAACCTGGGTTACACAGTGAGTTTGAGGTTGGCTTAGACTGTATAGTGAGATACTATCTCAAAAAACAAAAAAGTAAGGCTAGCATGGTGGCTCACCTCTGTAATCCTAGCGATTTGGGAGATGGAGATTAGGAAGCTCACAGTTTGAGGCTAGCTAGGCAAAAAGCTAGAACCCCAGGTCAATCAATAAACTGAGTATGGTAGCTTGCTTGTGCCTATGGTCCCAACTACACAGAAGACCATAAGTTAGTAGGATCAAGATCTGAGGCCTACCCCTAGCAAAAAAAAAAAAAAGAGATCCTACATGAAAAATAACTAAAGCCAGCCAGATACTGTTGGCTCATCCCAGTTGTACAGGAGGCTGAGATCTGAAGATCATGGTTCAAAGCCAGCCCATGGAAGTAAAGTCTATGAGACTCTTAACTCTAATTAACCATCAAAAAGCTGGAACTGGAGCTGTGGCTCAAGTGGTAGAGTACCACCCTTGAGCAAAAAATTTTAGGGTCAGCACTCAGGCGCTAAGTTCACGCCCCAGAACCAGCACAAAAAACACCACCACCAACAACAAAAAAAACTAAAGTAAAAAGGACTGAGGTTGTTTCAAGCAGTGTAGTGCTACTCATAAACCCTACACCCTGAGTTCAACTGCAGTATTAAAATGAAATGAAATAAAATATTATATAAACACCGTTTGTACACTGCTTGCACAAGCAGGACACCGCTGATGGGAAGGTACAGTGGTGTAACCATTACCACTGGTATAATGGTATAATTACTACGTAAAACAGTGTGACAGCTCCTCAAAAAGTTAAAACACAGAATTACCCTATGATGTGGAAATTCCACTTCTGGGAATATACCAACGGAACTGAAAGTCTGGACAGGAATGGGTATTTATACAGCCATACTCATCGCAACATCGTTTACAACAGCTAAAAGGTAGCAGCAACCCAAGTGTTCCCTGATAAATATTGAAGAAAACATGGTACATATATACAATGGAATATTAACCAGCCTTATAAAGAGAATTCAACACATAAAAATAATAATAATAAGAGAATTCAGAAGGGGTGACAATGTCCAAAAAAAGAAATGTACTTATTACCTGAGTTATAAAATGATAACCCAGGGGCTGGGAAGGTAGCTCAGTGGTAGGGTGCTTGCCTTGCATGCATGAGGCCCTGGGTTCAAGTCTCAGTACCACATAAGCAGAAAAAGCCAGAAGTGGTGCTGTGGTTCAAGTGGTAGAGTGCTAGCCTTGAACTGAAGAGCTCAGGGACAGTCCAGGCCTAGGGTTCAAGCCCCACAACCGACAATAAATAAATAAATAAATAAATAAATAAATAAATAACCTGAAGCTAGGCGCTGGTGGCTTACGCCTGTAATTCTAGCTACTCAGAAGGCTTGAGATATGAGGATCACCTCTCAGCCCAGGTAGGAAAGTCCATGAGATGCTTATCTCCAATAAAACATCAGAAAACTGAAGTGGCACTGTGGCTTGAACACTAGCCTTGAGCTGAAGAGCTGAGGGACAGTGCCAGGCCCAGAGTTCAAGCCCCATGACCACCCCCCTCAAAAAAAAAGATAACCTGTGTACAGCACCTTAATAATAAAAATAAAATTAAATTTTTTTTCTTAAAAAAAGGGGGAGTTGGGTGCCAGTGGCACATGCCTGTAATCCTGGCTACTCAGGAGGCTGAGATCTGAGCATCACAGTTGAAAGCCAGCCCAGGCAGACAGGAAAGTCTGAAATTAACTATAGAATGCTAGAAGTAGAGCAGTGGCTCATGTGGTAGAGTGCTAGCCTTGAACATTAAAAACTCAGGGAGAGGGGGGGAGAGAAAAAGAGAGAGAGAGGGCTGGGAAGGTGGCTCAGTGGTACAGCGCTTGCCTTGCATGCATGAGGCCCTGGGTTCGATTCCTTAGCACCACATAAGCAAAAAAAAGAAAAAAAGCCGGAAGTGGCGCTGTGGCTCAAGTGGTAGAGCGCTAGTCGTGAGCTGAAGAGCTGAGGGACAGCGCCCAGGCCCAGAGTTCAGGCCCCACAACCGGACCAAAAAACAAAAAAAAAAAAAAGAGAGAGAGAGAAAGAGAGAAAGTTAGTTCAGACAAATGCAACAAATAGATGAATTTTGAAGATATGTTACAGAAGATATGTTACCCCATTAAATGAGGTATCCTAAGTAGTTATAACTAGAGACAGAAAGAACTTGCCAGGGGATGAGGAGTTACTATTTAGAAGTTTCACTTCTGGAAGACTGAAAATATTGAGAGATGGATGGTGGTGATGGCCACACAAAAATATTAATGTCACTATGTATACTAAACTATACTCTAAAATAATAGTCATAAAAAGAATTTTAGTCAGGCACTGGTGGCTCACACTTGTAATCCTAACCATTCAGGAGGCTAAGATTATGAGATATGGTTTGAAACCAGCCCAAGCAGAAAGTCCATAAGACTTTTATCTCCAATTAACTACCAGAAAAACGGAGGACTTGCCTTGAGCTGAAGAGCTCAGGGATAGTGCCTAGGCCCAGAGTTCGAGTCCCACGACCAACAAAAAGAGAATAATTTTATGTGTGTGTGTGTTTCACCGCAATTTCTAAAAAAGGCTATGTTCAGTTTAAATTATAAGTGGCAGTTAACTGCAGAACTTCTCATGAAGTGTTTCTATTCTAAAATGTAGGTATTAAAGTAGAAAACCATAACTTTTTTTGAACTCAGGGCCAGGATGCTGTCCCTGAACTTTTTTGCTCAAAGCTAATGCTCTATCACTTGAGCCACAACTCTACTTCTGACCTTTCTGTGGCTAACTGTAGATAAGTTTACTGAACTTTCCTGTCTGGGCTGGTGTCAGATCTTCAGATCTCAGCCTCATGAATAGCTAGGATTATAGGTATGAGCCATAGGTGTCCAGCTGTAACTCAGCTTTAAAAGATCTGGGAAAGGGGCTGGGAAGGAGGCTCAGTGGTAGAGCGCTTGCCTTGCATGCCTGAGGCCCTGGGTTCGATTCCTCAGTACCACATAAGCAAAAAGAAAAAAAGCCAGAAGTGGCGCTGTGGCTCAAGTGGTAGAGGGATGTCCCTCAGCTCTTCAGCTCAAGGCAAGCGCTCTACCATTTGAGCTACCACTTCCAGTTTTCTGGTGGTTTATTGGGGATAAAGAGTTTCATGGACTTACCTGCCGGGCTGACTCTGAACTGAAATCCTCAGATCTCAGCCTCCTGAGTAGCTAGGATTACAAGGCATGAGCCACTGGTGCCTGGCTTTTTTTTTTTTTTTTAATTTTTGTCAGTCATGGGGCTTGAACTCTGGGCCTGGGGGCTGACCTGAGCTCTACAGCTCAAGATGAGCACTCTACCACTTGAGCCACAGTGCTACTTCTGGTTTTCTGAGTTCTTTATTGGAGATAAGATCTCACAGACTTCCCTGCCTGGACTGGTTTTGAACCGTGGTCCTCAGATCTCAGCCTCCTAAGTAGCTAGGATTACAGGTGTGAGTCACCAGTGCCCAGTTCTCAAATCTACTATTAAATAGCTTATTATACATCCATCAAGAACTTTGCTTGGTGGTTTTATATGTGCATATGTTTATATTTTAACATATATATTAAGGTTGATAAAGAAGTACTAAAGCTTACAAGGAATGCAATAGAGACATTATATTTTCCTTTCCCTCCCACCAACTGTACCCAAGAATTTTTATTTTAAAAAAATTAAAAAAGGATTCTTACTTGGGGCAGGCAGCCCACCACTGGACCGTTTATATCTGCTCTCCTTTAAAATGGATGTGATTTTGTACAAGTGACGGAAACCTGTTTTGCATTCAGAGGCAAAAATAAACTCAATTTCATCCTCGTGAGTTTGGGGGAAAACATGAAAGATGTCGTGAATCTGTAAAATGAACAGCTTCATTTACTACACATTTTAATGAAAATACTACAGAAACAATACAATTAACCTACAAACAAAAAAATAACTGCTAACTGTACTTTGAAATGTAAGTAACTGTCAGTGGTAAGAGTATAATACTTACAATAATAGGTTTGGCCTGGGCTTTTTATATTTATTTTACTTTCATCAAATCTTACCCATTGAAAGATAAATGTTTCCAAATGCAAAATGAAAATATGACCAAAAGTTTTTTTCTTACTCATCATCTCTACAATCTTTGCAACATGGAACAAAGTTTGTTTAATAATATAAATCTTATTACTAAACAATGAAAAGCATTTTTTACTTCTATTTTTCAAAGAGAAATATTCTAACAGCTGAGGGAAAACAGATGTTCATCTGTTTTAGGTGAATCTAAGAAGCCTACATTCAGCTAGAAAGTAAACTGGCTTCATTTGTACCTCATTTTAAGCTTTCATGCTAGAATGGAAAATTAAAAATGAAACTTAAAACAGGTGCATTTTGGTTCAGTCTGCCAAATGAAAATGACTAAATTTTTTTGGGGGGTCCAAGACTGGGACACTATCTGATACTTGCTTTTTCTGATTGGCTTGTACTCTACCCCCCTCCCCCGCCCCCCCCCGACCCAATTCTTGAAGTCCTCTTCAGAAACAAGAGGCTGTATGTTTACTACCCGACTAGCTTAGGAACAAATCTGCTTTTCCAGTGAGGTATTACTCCTTGGCATCAAGTTGGAACAATCTTTCCAATTTTAAAATTCCACTGTTAAAAACTAAGGAAACAAAATTCACAACTCCTTTGAACTTAATAAAAAAAAAATCCAAACATTTGTCTTATCATCCTGAGAACATCTTTACTTTAGCCAAGCACAGGAAACTAAAAATGCATACATACATTGATCCATATGTCTGTTGTTTCTTCATAAATAATCAGTGGTGTCACAGAGTCAGGCACTGACTCAATGAGTCTCTGTCTTCCCATGGCATCATCTTCTACTGGGATAAATAATTCAGGGGAGATCAACACTATCTGTAGGCGAGTTTGGGAACGATCTAGTAGGATGGACCAGGCACTATTTAACATATAAAGAGAAATACCAGAAGTAAAGAAAGCTCTCAGAAAATGGATAATCCTTTATTTTCTACTTTGGCACCTATCAATTACTTATATGCTTATATTAACTGTTACTAAACTATTACAAACAGCCAATTAAAAATACTTGGAGCTGAGTGCTGGTAGCTCATGCCTGTAATCCAAGAGGCTGAGATCTGAGGGTCGTGGTTCAAAGGCAGCAAAAGGTTCCTGTGAGACTCTTTATCTCTAATTATCAACTCAAAAACTGGAAGTGAAGCTGTGGCTCAAGGTGGTAGAGAGCTAGCCTTGAGCTGAAGAGCTCAGGGACAGCTTCCAGGCCCACAGTTCAAGCCCCATAAGAAGCACCACCACTACCACCACCAACAACAATAACAAAGAGCTCAGGAAAGAACAAAAAAGCTCAGGGACAGTGTTCAGGCCTTAAGTTCAAGGTCCCCCCCCCCCCCAAACAAACAAACAAACACAATTTGTCAAAAAGGTGCAGTTTAAATTACAAGTGGCAGTTAACTACAGAACTTCACATAAAGTGTTTCTATTTTAAAATGTAGATACTATTTTTTTCTTGTGAAAATACTGTACAGAGGGGTTACAATTACATGGGCAAGATACTGAGTACATTTCTTATCAAGCATTGTAGCCTCCTCCTTTGTTTCCCCTTCCCATCCCTTCCTATCCTCCCCACCCCAACAAAGTTGTAAAGTTCGTTTTCAACATAACCACTTGTACATCTCATTGTTGCAATGGGTCCACCTGTATCCCTATTTAAACGATTTAAAATGTAGATATTATTAAAGTAGAAAGCCTTAACTGTTTTTTGAACTCTGGGCCAGGATGCTGTCCCTGAGCTTTTTTGCTCAAATCCAGTGCTCTATCACGTAAGCCAGTCGCCAGTGGCTCACACCTGTAATCCTTGCTACTCAGGAGGCTGAGATCTGAGGATCACTATCAAAGCCAGCAGGGGCAGTGATGTCCATGAGACACTCATCTCCAATAAATAGTCAGAAGTAGAGCTGTGGCTCAAATAGTAAAGCATTAGAATTGAGCAAAAGCCAAAAAAACCTACAAACTTCCAAAACAAAAACATTAGCTGGGTGCTAGTGGCTCACACAGGTAATCCTAGCTATTCATAAGGCTGAGATTTGAGGGGACTGAGATTTAAAACCAGCCTAGGAAGGACAGTCACTTGACTTTATGTCCAATTAGCCAGCAAAAAATGTGGGAAGTACATCTGTGGCTCAAGTGGTAGAGTGCTAGTCTTGAGTATGAAAGTTCAGGGCAGTGCCTAAGACCTGAGTTCAAGCCCCAGGACCAGCGCACACACACACAAAAAGGTAGACAGCCAGCTGAGGAAGCAAGTCATTTCATAGACACTGAAACTGCATGCATTAATCTTTGAATAAGGATTCTACAAGTATTTCTACCTCAGTTATACTACATTTAAGGGCTGGGAATGTGGCTTAGTGGTGGAATGCTTAGCATGCATGAGGCCCTGGGTTTGATTTCTTGGTACCACATAAACAAAAACAATTACATTTATGTGTGAACCTTTAGTCATAGAACTTAACCACAAATATCATTGTGAGTCCTAATTAAACACAATACATTTATGTTTATAATACAATCTTTTTTTTTTTTTTTTTATTAGTCATGAGGCCTGAACTCTGGGCCTGGGTGTTGTCCCTGAGCACTTCAGCTCAAGGCAAGCGTTCTACCACTTCAGCAACAGTGCCACTTCCTGTTTTTTCTGCTTATGTGGCACTGAGGAATCTAACCCAGGGCCTCATACATACAAGGCAAGCACTCTACCACTGAGCCACCCCTTCTCAGCCCAATATTACAATCTTAGCACAACTCAGTTCAGGAAAAATCCCTAAAGCAGAAACAACTATGCTGCACATTTACACGTGAATGTAGCTACCACTGTACTGCAAATCCAAACACATAGACATTTCTAAAGACCTGGAATACAAACTAGTTATAAGAAGTAATAATTTAACATACGCACTATTTTCCCTCTGGAGTCCATCCAGCTCTGGCAATATATTCCACTCCTTCAAATAGAATCTCAAAAGGTTGAATTAGTTCTTTATCTATGATGTCTATAATCTATGAAGAGAAAAAAGGATCTTGTCATAGAGGTTGAAAAAAATAATTAGCTCACTAGTTTACTTCTATCATCCGTGACAGCACAATACATTTTTCAGACTTACGTATTTAAAAGTGAACAAATACAAAGTAAAACCAGAAGGAAACCATGAGTTATCTTGATTGGGGCTTCTTTTGCCTAAGAAAATTCTACCATAGAATTAGCACACTGATCAGGCACTGATGGCCCACACTGAGATTTGAGGATCACAGTTAGAAACCAGCCTGGGCAGGAAAGTCACTGAGACACTTATCTTCAATTATTCACCAAAAAGCTGCAAATGGAGGTATGGTTCATGTGGTAGACCTATCAGTCTTACACAAAAAAGTTAAGGGACGATACCCAGGCCCTGAGTTCAAGCTCTAGTACCAACTTAAAAGAAAATGGGTAGCCAGGTGGTGGTGGCTCACGCCTGTAATCCTAGCTACTCAGGAGGCTGAGATCTGAGGATCGTGGATAAAAGCCAGGCTGGGCAGGAAAGTCCATGAGACTCTTATCTCCAATTAACCACCAGAAAATCAGAAGTGGTGCTGTGGCTCAAATGGTAGAGCGCCTGCCTTGAGCTGAAGAGCTCAGGGACAGCACCCAGGCCCCAAGTTCAAGCCCCACAACCAAAAAAAAAAAAAAGGTGAAGTTAATCCTCTAAAGAAAGTAAGTTGTTAATAAGCACAAGAAAAAAATGTTCAGGGAGGGCGGTGAGTGGGAAGGAGATGGGAAGGGGTGAGAAGGGGAAACAAAGGAGGAGGCTACAATGCTTGATAAGAAATGTCCTCATTACCTTGCCCATGTAATTGTAACCCCTCTGTATGGTATTTTCACACACAAAAAAAATGTTCAACATTGTTAGCCACCAGGAAAATGTTAAGTCAAAACAATAATGAAACATCACTTCACACCCAGCAGGAGAGCTATAATAAGATGGACAATAGCAAGTGTTGATGATGAAGAAATCAGAAAGTTCATACAATGCTAGTGGGAACATAAAAAAGTATAGCCACTTCTAAACAGTTTGCAGTTCCACAAAACATTAAGCAGAGTTCTCAAATGCCCCAACAAGTCTATTCCTAGCTATATACACTGGAGAAGTAAAAACATAACGCTAATGCCTATATGTTCATATATACGAGAGGCTTAAAATATTTTTTAAAAAATAGTCCTGGGGCTTGAACTCGGGGGTTAGGTGCTATCATTGAGCTTCTTTGTTTAAGGCTAGAGCTCTACCACTTGAGTTACAGTGCTACTTCTGGTTTTCTGGTGGTTAACTGGAGGCAAGAGTCTCATAGACTTTCCTGCCTTGGCTGGCTTTGAACCACCATCCTCATATCTTAGCCTCCTGAGTAGCTAAGACTAAAGGTATAAGCCAATGACACCCAGCTAATGATTCTTTTGAAGTGCTAACTTTCTAAATTGATTCTGGTTGCCCAACTCTGTGAATATTCTAAAGGCCACTGAATTTTAAACTTTATTATTATTATTATTATTATTGCCAGTCCTGGGGCTTGAACTCAGGGCCTGGGTACTGTGCCTGAGCTTCTTTTGCTCAAAGCTAGCACTCTACCACTTCAGCCACAGCGCTACTTCTGACTTTTTCTGTTTATGTGGTACTGAGGAATCAAACCTAGGGCTTCATGCATACTAGGCAAGCATTCTACCACTAAACTACATTCCCAGCCTCAATTTTAAACTTTAAAATGAGTAAATTGATTGTATATAAATTGTCTTAGTAAAGCTATGTTAAAATCTAGAAGTGTTCTTTCCAACTAATAATGTAATGCTCCTTTGAAGTATTTGACTGTCCAAAAGAGAAGGTGCAGTTAAGTACAAATAAAGAGAAATGTGGGATATTTAATACATCACAAACAAAAACCCAAATAGAAAATGAATTACCAATCAACAACCACTTTTTATCATATCCAATCTTGACTAAAGAATGATTAAAGGCAAAGAAAAAAAAACTATTGGAAAGGAGTAATAAATATGTTTATTCCTGTTTTTTTTTTTTTTGTCAGTCATGGGGCTTGAACTCTGGGCCTGGACACTGTCCCTCAGCTCTTCAGCTCAAGGTGAGCGCTCTACCACTTAAGCTACAGTGCCACTTCCTGTTTTCTAGTGGTTTATTGGAGATAGGAGTCTCACAGTCTTTCCTGCCCAGGCAGGCTTTGAACCGCAATCCTGAGATCTCAGCCTCCTGAGTAGCTAGGATTACAGGCGTGAGCCACCGCACCCAGCTTTATTCCTATATTTTTATCTTGGGAACCAGCAGGAAGTTTTATAAACAAAAAGTAGGTCAAATTAGCTGGGTGCCACCGGCTCCAGCTTTAATATTAGCTACTCAGAGGCTAAAACCTAAAAGATCTGGGTTCAAAGCTAGCAAGGGCAGAAAAGTCAGCAAGTATAACTCCAATTTATTAGGAAAAATGCCAGGCCTGGCTCAAGTGGCAGAATGCCAGTGTGAGCCAAAGGGCTGAGCAAGGGCTTGATGCTTGGCCCTAGTACTAACACACACACACACACAAAATTTGGCCAATGTAAAAAAAAAATCATGATCCATTACTATCTCAACAAATTCCAACAAGAGAAAACAAAAACAAAAAACAGAAAAGTGCATCAAATACCTTAACTAGACAGACAAGGGACACAGAAAGTCAATTCAACAATATATACTCACCCTTCCATCAGCATCAACTATTATTTCTGACATCTTAAAAGTGACTTTTGGATTTGCTGTTCCTTTAAAGAGACATAAACAAGTAATTATGCATCCTAATATTACTCATGCTAATTTTGACAGATCAAGCTTTTCTGCAGTTTATTTAAGTAAGGAATACTATATATAGTTAGGCTTTATTAAGTAAGAATCTCAGGAACTTATCTCAAAAATCTCAAAATCATACTTTATTTTTATATTAAAAAAAAAAGAAGCTGTAGAGAGTAACAATGAAATAGCCACCTCCCCCATAAGTAATATAATCTGAAAAAAGCTGAAACATATTAAAGGCCAATATGAAATTAGGAGAATTCTGTACAACTTTTACTATTGAAGTGCTATAAACAACAAAATAGATAAAAAGGGACAATAAAAATCAAAATCACTAAAAATATTTCTTTTTTTTTTTTTTTTGGGTCCGGTTGTGGGGTCTAAACTCTGGGCCAGGGCACTGTCCCTCAGCTCTTCAGCTCAAGGCTAGCACTCTACCACTTGAGCCATAGCGCCACTTCTGGCTTTTTTTTTTCTGCTTATGTGGTGCTGAGGAATCGAACCCAGGGCCTCATGCATGCAAGGCAAGCGCTCTACCACTGAGCCACCTTCCCAGCCCACTAAAAATATTTCATTTCTTGGAACAACCAGTTTTATGGGCATCTTTATCTTTGGAAATAATTCAAAAGGATCAGCTTCATTTCAAAATCAATTTTAGACACTTAATGAACAAGCAATGCTTACTAAGGCTGCAATGAGCAATGTTTATCACACTTTTGAAAAACTATAATCTTATTTGGAAGGAGGAATGAAAATAAGCAGAATACAATACCTGTCTTAGGGTAACGGAATGAATCTGCTCTCCTTGTTTCCAACAAAGGGGATGTAACATGAATAATTTCCACCTCAGATTCATCATTTTCTTCATATAGAATTCTAAGAATTTTACTGCCACTAGGAGCTTAAAAGGAATTTAGATGTTAAAAATTTTATAAGAAATAACTAGTATATGTCTGAGTCAAGCAGAAAAGGTCAGATAAGTTGATGTTAGGGAAATGAACCCTAAGATATGTATTCAAATGTTTTTTCTTTCATGTGATAGTTTCTAGAACATTTATAAGATTATTTCTTTGTTGCTTTGTATGTCCCTCCCCCACGGTATAACCCCTGCTTTCACTGTATTTGATGTGGGTATAATTTGTGGAGGGGAAGGGAAAAAACAAATCGTTTAAATAGGGATACAGGTGGACCCACTGCAACAATGAGACGTACATGTCGTATGTCAAACACGAACTTTACAACTTTGGTAGGGGGCAGGGAGGAGGGTTGGGTGGGGGGGACAGGGGAGGATGGGATGGGAAAGGGAAACAAAGGAGGAGGAGGCTACAATGCTTTATAAGAAATGTACTCATTATCTTGCCCATATAATTGTAACCCCTCTGTACAGTATTTTCACAATAAAAAAAAAGAAAAAAAATTTATAAGAATTACTCCAAAAAAGAATGACTGACCATTTCCTAATCTAATATCTGATTTTTCATAATAAAAAGATAATTTGCGTATAAAATGTGTTATTTATATTTACTGGTGCTGGGATCAAACTCAGGACCTTCAGCATGCTAGCCTACTTCTGAACTCTACCTCAGACAGTACTGCTTTCTTAATTTTTCTTTTTGTACTGGTCCTGGGGCTTGAATTCAGGGGCTGGGTGTTGTCCCTGAGCTTTTTTGTTCAAGGCTAGTGCTGTACAACTGGAGCCACAGCTCAACTTCTGGATTTTTTTGGTGGCTAATTGGAAATAAGAGTCTCATAAACTTTCTTTTCTGCCTGGGATGACTTCAACTGCAATCTTTAGATCTCAGCCTCCTAAGTAGCTAGGATTATGAGTATGAGCCACCAGCACCCAGCCTGTATGGTTTTTTTTGGATGAAAACAACACTAGTTAATAGCTAAGTCACCTTCACTGATTTAAGGTTATTCTTTTTGGGGATTAAAAAAACTCATGATGTATACATCTATTTTCCCCCCATTTCTTATAATTTAATTTATATGAATGTCCACAATAGGCAATGATGACTAATGAGCACAGTCTTTCCTGGCATTAGTGACCGTGGCTGCACAACTGGGAGAATGTACTGAAAACCACTGAACTATATACTTTACGAGGGTGAATTTTATAGGATGTGAATCATAGTATATTATTCCAAAATAATAAATATAAAGGACATATTAAGTTTTAACGGATGATACCAGATCCATTAAAAGTCTAGGGATACATACATATACTTTTTTTTTTTTTTTTTCTAGTCCTGAGTCATGAATTCAGGGCCTATGTGCTGTCCCTGAGCTTTTATGCTCAAGGCTAGTGCTTTATCATTTAAGCCACACCTCCACTTCTGGCTTACTTTCCTGGCCAGGTTGGCTTTGAATTGTGATCCTCAAGTCTCAGCCTCCTGAGTCGTTAGAATTGCAGATGTGAGCCACGGAGCACCTGGATATATTATATATATATTGTCAGTCCTGGGGCTTGAACTCATGGTCTGGGCAGTGTCCCTGAGCTTCTTTTCTCAAGGCTAGTGCTCTACCACTTGAACCATAGTGCCACTTGTAGTTTTTTCTGTTTTTGTGGAACTGAGGAATCAAACCTAGGGCTTCATTTATGCTAGACAGGCACTCTACCACTAAGCCACATTCCCAACCTCCAGCTGGCCATATACTTTTTTTTTTTTTTTTTTATTGTAAAGCTACTATACAGAGGGTTACAGTTACATGAGTGAGGTTATGAGTACACTTCCTCTTGAACATTGTTACCCCCTCCATTGTTTTCCCCCTACCATCCCGTCCCTCCCTCCCTTCCCCGAGGTTCTTTTTTTTTTTTTGATTGTGATTAAATGATTACATAATTTCAAAGTCACAAGTTCATTCTAACTTCCCTGGAGCAAATTGTCTACCACAGTCTGTAATATATAACAGTGTTCACATGTTATATACCATATTTGTGATCAGCAGCATGAGGATATTTAGTAGTGGTTCAACCAGATGAGCGGGAGTTCTTTGTTTCTTAAGTCCTGTTAGCTTTGTCGTATCACCTAACCTTTTGGATTTAGCATCCACTTATGAGGGAGACCATGTACCATTTGTCTCTTCGTTCTTTGGCCATATACTTTTAAAACAGGGGAAAACAGTTTTGAAGAACTTTGGCCTTGTACATCTTAAGATACTTTTTGCTGAAACAAGACTTATTTAATTAAGTTTATATTTCCTATAAAGTGCTATTTAAATACTGGCTAATTTTTTTTTTTTGGGTCCAGTTGTGGGGCTTGAACTCTGGGCCTGGGCGCTGTCCCTCAGCTCTTCAGCTCAAGGCTAGCACTCTACCACTTGAGCCACAGTGCCACTTCCGGCTTTTTTTTTCTGCTTATGTGGCGCTGAGGAATCGAACTCAGGGCCTCATGCACGCAAGGCAAGTGCTATACCACTGAGCCACCTCCCCAGCCCCTAATTGTTTTTTTAAATATACTTTTTTATTGTACAGATTCTGTACAGAGGGGTTACAGTTACATGAGTAAGGTAATGAGTACATTTCCTATCAAGCATTGTTACCTCTCCAATACTGGCTAATTGTTTTGAATAGTTTTTCTATGTCAAAATTTTGTTTAACAAATATAATTATGGCAAAACATTTTATATCTTAAAATAAATGTCCATATCAAAGATATGGTTTAAAAGTTAATATTTTCCATGGCCCTTTAGGGAAATATTCACACTACTAGCTATAAACTAACAGCAATCTATTTGTGGGGTATAACCAGCATTACACATAAGGATAAATAGTGACTCATAAAATTTGTTTTGAGTTTTGTCTACACAGTATATGTCTTAGGCTATGATTATAAGCAAATTTCTAACTAGATCATGGTCAGAGAGTTTGTAAGCCATGGCTTTAAGTTTCTAGGTAAGGAAACATTAAAAAACAAGGCATTTGTTTGTTTTCTCCTATCTGTTCATGAACTGACTTGGTCATCTGTAAACTCTAGTAAATGACACATTTATTTATTTTTCTTTTTTCCTTGGCATTACTGGGGTTTGAACTAAGAGATTTGCAAGCTCTCTTGGCTTGCTTGCTTGCTTACCTCATGTTCTATCACTTGAGCCATACCTCCAACTCTGCTTTTTGCTCTTGAATTTGGAGATGGAGACTCATGAATCTTTTTGTTCAGGCTGGCTTCAAATCTCAATATTTCCAAGTAGCTAAGATTACAGACATGAACAGCTGGCGGCTGACTATTACACATTTATTTTCTTTTTTTCTCTTTCTTTTTGTGCCAGAACTGGGGCTTGAGTCAGGGCCTGGGTGCTGTCCCTGAGCTTTTGAGCTCAAGGTTACCACTCTAGCACTTGAGCCACAGCTTCACTTCTAGCACTTTTGGTAGTAATTGGACATGAGAGTCTCATGGGCTTTCCCATATGAGTTGGCTTCAAATCTAGATCCTCACATCACAGCTTCCTGAGTAGCTAGGATTATAGGTGAGAGTCACTGAGCCCTGCTTCTCATACATTTTTCATTAGTAATTCATTAGGGTGTGATATTTTGCCACAATATTACCAAAATTATCAACTAGCCTTCTGGTTGAAAACTGGCAAACAGAATTGAAAAAGGGATTCCACTGAACCACAGTTTAAGTAGCTCTACTAGAATTTGTACTGATAAGATACAATCTGTATATTATAAATAACTACTAAGAGGATCTAGCCCCCATCACTTTGGAACTTATTATCCAAGGTAGGAAAATTACAATTGTATCTTTTTATAGTCTTATTGACCCATAATATATTATTTTGAACTTCTTACTCATTTCAGCTTCTGGACACCACCAATAGCCAGAATATCTATCAAACTCTTCTTGAAGAACAAATGTAGCAACTCCAGCCGATCTGGGATCATCTTCCATGTTGGCTAGCTCTAGATAAAAATAAAAGACAAAATTATTTGAGAAGGGTGTCACACCCCTTCCTCCCCTCAGCACAAAGCAAAATTAGTTTATTTGCAAAGGTAGCTGAAAGTAGTAATGAAATGTACACCCAAATGGAGTGGGTTCAAATCTAGATTCCATCGTTACCATCATTACCAACTTTGGGCAAATCACTCAATCTCACTCCAATGTAGTGTTTCATTTGAAAATGAGGGTAAGATTGAAGCCAGTGCCTTGGGCATTTCAAGACAAACACAATACCACTTTGCTACTCAGCCCCCCTCTTTTCTTTTTGTCAGTTGTGGGGCCTGAACTCTGGGCCTGGGTGCTATCCCTCAGCTCTTTAGCTGAGGGCTAGCACACTACCACTTGAGCCATAGTGCCACTTTTGGCTTTTTCTGCTTATGTGGCACTGAGGAATTGAACCCAGGGCCTCATGCATACAAGGCAAGCACTCTACCACTAAGCCACCTTCCAGCCCCTTTCTCTCTTTTCAAGACAGGGTCTCACCATGTAGCCTTGAACTAGTGATTTCCTTTCATTCAACTTACAGGAGTATGCCACCATTACCAATTTTTTTTTACCTTAACCATTCCTTTTCTTCCTTCCTTTCTTCTTCTGTCTCTTTTTCCTTTTTCTTCCTGTGATAAGAGTCTCATAGCCCAGACTGGCAATCCAGGCAACCTGAAATGTGTAATCCTCTTGTCTCCTCTAGAGCTAGGACTACAGGCCCGAGACACCATGCTCAATAGCATAGCTCAGGCTAGCTTTGAACTCACTATCCTTCTTTCTCATCCTCTTGTTGACTACTGGCATGTGCCACCATAGCCAGCTCACTTGTTTGTTAATAATATTTAATTTATGCCATATTCTAGCAGCTTTTAGTTTTTTTGTTATTGAGAATAAAAGGTGCTATGAATGTTCTTGTGTAAGAACGTTGTTGCTCATACCTATAATCCTAGGTATTCGGAGGACAGCATTTCAAGAGCAACTCGGGCAAAAAGTATACTAGACTGTCAGGTCATCAGGAGGCAGAGATGTGGGGAACTATGGTTTGAAGCCAGCTAGGCAGAAAAGTCAGCTAGACTCTATCTCCAAAACAACCAGTAATTTTTTTGCTGGGCTGGAAGAATAGCCCCAGTGGTAGAGTGCCTGCTGAGCAAGGAAGCCAGCCAAGTGAGTTTGAAGCCTTGAGTTAGAAAACTGGTATCGTCAAAAAAAAAAAGTTTGAGAGATCCCCATCTGAAGAATGAAAGCTGGGTTGGGTGCCCGTGGCTCACACCTGTAATCCTAGCTACTCAGGAGGCTGAGATCTCAAGATCACGGCTCAAAGCCAGCCCAGGCAGGAAAGTATGTGAGTTTCACACATGCTAGGCAAGTTCTCTACCACTAAGCCACATTCCTAGCCCCTCTTTTTTTTTAAATACTTTATTATAAAAATACTGTACAGAGAGGTTACAGTTACATGAGCAAGGTAATGAGTACATTTCCTATCAAGCATTGTTACCTCTTCCTTTGTTTTTCCCCTACCCTCCCTTCCCTCCCACCTCTACAACTATACTCCTACTCTTTCCCCCTCCCCCCTCTCCTCCTAGCCCTCTTTTGAATAAATAGCTAAAAGTCAAATGGCTATGTTCTGTGATATACATGTTTAATTTTGTAAGAAACTACCAAGCAAGCCAGGCGCCAGTGGCTCACGCCTGTAATCCTAGCTATTCAGGAGGCTCAGATCTGAGGATCGAGGTTCAAAGCCAGCTCAGGCAGGAAAGTTCCTAAGACTCCTATCTCCAATAAGCCACTAGAAAACCAGAAGAGGCACTGTAGCTCAAGCGGTACAACACTGGCCTTGAGCTGACGAGCGCAGGGACAGCACCCAGGCCCAGAGTTCAAGCCCCATGACTGACAAAAAAAAAAAAAAGCAAACCACCAAACATTTTTCTTACTCTCAATGCATGGAAACTCCTCTTTAGCATTTAATATTCTCAATCTTTTTCACTTTTGTTAACCTAGTAGGTATGTAGGGATCACTCTTTCTCTCCCCTTCTCTACCCCCATATCAAGACAGGGTCTTGCTATATAGCCCAGGTTAGTCTAGCACTCCTGGCCTCAAGTGAATGACCCTACCATCCTCACATAGGCCAGCTCAGGCAAGTTTTATTTGTTATCTTTGCGGATCTGCAGATCTGTATTTTTGACATTGTAGGATAGGAAGATGCAGCATGAACCAATGATCCCTTATTGTAATGGAGTCCAGAAGATGAGCTGGAATTCAGAATTAGGAACTAGTCACTATGCTGTTCACCTGTCAGAGATCATGTAACACTTCTAGCAGGGCAGCTAAAGAAGCTGTAATCAAATACCCTACTATTCTTGAGGCAAATTTATAAGAAGGCACACTAAGTAGGACTGCAATTATAAATATCCTAAGGTCAGTTCAGGTCAGTTTATGCTATTAAACATCAAGTTAATGAAAATTAAGCTCTCAGTTTTCAGAAATTTTTGAATTTTGCAATTAATAATAGAATGAAGACAAGGGCTCAGTTTTCTTGGACGTTTCAAATACTCCAAAATTATACTACTAATATGATTTTAAGCCACAGCGCCACTTCCGGTTTTCTAGTGGTTTTTTATTGGAGATAAGAGTCTCATGGACTTTCCTGCCTGGGCTGGCTTTGAACTGGGATCCTCTGATCTCAGCCTTCTGAGTAGCTAGGATTACAGGCGTGAGCCACCGTCGCCAGCGCTAACATTTTTTTTTTTTTTTTGGTCCAGTTGTGGGGCCTGAACTCTGGGCCTGGGCACTGTCCCTCAGCTCTTCAGCTCAAGGCTAGCACTCTACCATTTGAGCCACAGTACCACTTCCAGCTTTTTTTTTTCTTTTTGCTTATGTGGTGCTGAGGAATCGAACCCAGGGCCTCAAGCATGCAAGGCAAGCACTCTACCACTGAGCCACCTTCCCAGCCCTGCTAACATGATTTTATATTTTGCTCTCCTTCAGATTTGAGGAGAGGTACTATTCATTTGAATCTCCCTATCACTTATAACAGACCTCAATTATTCATCATTTTATCCTCCCACTAAGAGAAATTATTTGGGAGAAGTTGGTGTTTTTTATTTTTGAATTCCTCTACCATCTTAAGCACAGAATAAACACATGTACATCTGACTAAACTTATCCTTCTTCTGTGTGTGTGTGTGTTTGTGTGTGTGTGTGTGATGCTGAGGCTCAAACCTACCATCAATCCCCACCCCTGAGCTGTTTTTCTGGGGAGAGGAGATGGGATGATCTGGAGGATGAACTGAAGCTCTCACGCTGGTTAGGTATATTATATACTTTTTGCTGAGACAAGTTTAAATTTCTTAATTGAAATTTTATTTTAATGTGAACAGCTTTTGGAAAATTGTGGTGCTCTGTGTGTATGTGTTTGTTCGCACGTGCGCGCGCGTGCGCATTCTTACCAGTACTGAAGCTTGAACTGAAGACCTTGAACTCTTATTCAGCTTTTTTGCTAAAGGCTGGTACTCTACAACTTGAGCTATATCTCCACTTCTGGCTTTTTGTTGGTAACTAGAAATAAGTCTCTCAAATTTGTTTGCCCAGGCTGACTTCGAACTGATATTCTCAACCATCAGCCTGCTAAACACCTAGTGGGCAGTCTTTTTTTTTTAAGTAATAATTTTTTGTTGAGAATGATTACACAAATTTCATAAATTTCACAGTATTGTAGAATAGTGATAGTTAAAATTGCAAACACATTTTAACCTTTACAAGGCAAATTGTCATTCTCTTAGTCTATAAAGTTTATGAATTCTACAAGCTTTGACAGTACAACTCTTTCTTCTGCGTAGTGGCTGTCTTAATAGGCTGAATGAACAATTATTAGAGGGCTACTATGGTGCTGTTTGAAAATGAACTAAAACAAGGTAGCACTGTACAGGGCTGCCTTACCCTCTGTACTTTTTTCATAATTAAAAAAAGTTAAAGAGTAAAGTTTCAAATACAAAGATCACCAGCTTGTGTGGGTGGATCTGAAGAACTATGCCTTACCATTGTGCACATAGGTGAGCCTTCTTTCTTCTCTGGTGACAATGTTGGATATCCAGATATCATTGCTGTGTATAAAAGCAATCCAGTCTGGATCAGCAGGACATAATTTTGGGTCCATCCGTATGTTGGGACAACTAGTTTCCACTAAATTGGGCTGTAAAGGTTGTTGCTAGAAAAGTAAACAACATTTTAAGGTGACTATCAGACTGATAGATCTTTAAGATGAGTATTTCTGGGTAAAATGTCAACTTTGGTAATAGTTTCAAATGGCCTCCCCCCATCCCCTCGCCTTTTTCACAATACTAGGGCTTAAACTTAGGGCCTTTGGCTAGTTAGGCAAGTATTCCATCGTTTGAGCCATATTCTCTTTTTCATTTATTTATTTTTTGTTGTTGGTTGTAGGGCTTGAACTCAGGGCCTAGGAGCTGAACCTGAGCCCTTTATGCTTAAAGCTAGGACTTTACCACTTTTGAGCCACAGTGCCACTTCAAGTTTTCTGGTGACTAATTGGAGATAAGAGTCTCAGGGACTTTCCTGCCTAGGCTGGCTTTGAAAGGTGATCCTCAAATCTCAGCCTTCTGAGCAAGTGTGACCCACTGACAACAGCCCAGTTAGTATTTTCAGATAGGGTCTGAATAGCTTTTTGTTTAGATTGGTTTCAAATTTATCTCCTTGTAAAAGAGACTAATAGCAGGAGTTATTATACCTAGCTTCTTCATGGCTTTTAACTTTTTTTTTTTTTTTTTTTTGTCATGGGGCCTGGGTGCTGTCCCTCAGCTCTTCAGCTCAAGGTTGGTTTTTAATTTATAAAGGATTAACTTGTCCCCCTATGAATAAAAAAGCTAAAGGTGGGGACTGGGAAGGTGGCTCAGTGGTAGAGCGCTTGCCTTGCATGCATGAGGCCCTGGGTTCGATTCTTCAGCACCATATAAGCAGAAAAAGCCAGAAGTGGTGCTGTGGCTCAAGTGGTAGAGTGCTAGCCTTGAGCTGAAGAGCTGAGGGACAGCACCCAGACCCAGAGTTCAGGCCCCACGAGCGGCAAAAAAAAAAAAAGCTAAAGGTAATGGGAGATATTGTATTATATCTTGATAATATAACAACATACTGGGACATGATAAGTTATACAGGACTCTAGGCATCCACACAAAGTAAGACCACAGGAGGACACTCTTAGGGGAGGAATACAAAAGGGCAGTGCCTATGTGCCTCTGATCATATGAAGTAAAATTTATTGAATTTAACTCCAGGACATGGAAACAAGAAGTTTATTCCATTGTTTTAAAAAAATAAAAGATACTGGGGCTGGGAAGGTGGCTCAGTGGTAGAGCGCTTGCCTTGCATGCCTGAGGCCCTGGGTTCGATTCCTCAGCACCACATAAGCAAAAAGAAAAACGCCAGAAGTGGCGCTGTGGCTCAAGTAGTAGAGCAGAGCGCTAGCCTTGAGCTGAAGAGCTGAGGGACAGTGCCCAGGCCCAGAGTTCAGGCCCCACGACTGGACCCAAAAAATAAATAAAAAAAAAAAAAAGATACTATAACAACATTTTGTAAATTGCCCCATTTTTTTTTTTTTTTGCTGGTCCTGGGGCTTGAACTCAGGGACTATATACTGCCTCCAAGCCTCTTTGTGCTCAAGGCTAGCACTCTGCCACTTGAGCCACAATGCCACTTCTGGCTTTTTTGAGCAGTTTATTGAAGATTGAGCCTCACAGGGACTTTTCTGCCTGGGCTGGCTTTGAACCATGATCTTCAGATCTCAGCATCCTGAGTAGCTAGGATTACGGGTGTGAGCCACTGTTACCCAGCTTGTCCAAATATTTTTAATAGAGTAATTGTTATTTTAAAAGTAACTATTTAAAAATATTTTAAATACTATTTATTGCATATTTATTAAATATTAAAAAATTCGTTTTATCAATACAAATGTTTTACTCATAAAAATGTAAGGAAAGCCAGGATCCTCACAAGTCTATCAAAATATCTCTAATAATTCATAAAGAATTTCCAAATAGAGAAAGTAATTTTCCTTCCTTCCTTTCTTCTTTCCCTCCTTCCCTCCTGCCTTTCCTCTCTCCTTCCCTCTTCCCTCTCCCTTCTTCACTACGGGGGACTGAACTGAAATTCAAATGCTCCACCTCTAGCCCTAGTGCTTTTGTCTATCTGATGAAGTATGGGGCTAACTTCCTCAGGGTTAGCCTTGGATCTTGATCTTCCTACTTTGGCCTCCACAAGAGTTTGGAGTATGGATGTGTGTCACTATTCCTAATCATAGCAAGTGGTATGAGAATATAAAAAACTGCACCTGGGGTTGGGAAGGTGGCTCAGTGGTAGAGCGCTTGCCTTGCATGCATGAGGCCCTGGGTTCGATTCCTCAGCACCACATAAGCAAAAAGAAAAAAAGCCGGAAGTGGCACTGTGACTCAAGTGGTAGAGCGCTAGCCTTGAGCTGAAGAGCTGAGGGACAGCGCCCAGGCCCAGAGTTCAGGCCCTACAACAGGACCCAAAAAACAACAACAACAACAAACCTGTACCTTAATGTACCTTAAAAAATTAAATCTTGGGCTGGGATGTAGCTCAGTGACAAAGCGCTTGCCTAGCAAGTGTAATGTCATGGGTTCGATCCCCAGAACCAAAAAAGAAAAAAAAAAAAAAATAAATAAAAATAGGGGCTGGGAAGGTGGCTCAGTGGTAGAGCGCTTACCTTGCATGCCTGAAGCCCTGAGTTCGATTCCTCAGCACCACATAAGCAAAAAGAAAAAAGCCAGAAGTGGCGCTGTGGCTCAAGTGGTAAAGCGCTAGCCTTGAGCTGAAGAGCTGAGAGACAGTGCCCAGGCCCAGAGTTCAGGCCCCATGACCGGACTCTCCCTCGCTCCCCAAAAAAAACAAACAGAAAAAAAAACCCAAACAAACAAACAAAAAATTAACTCTTAATACTAAAACTAGTATTATGTTTGGTTTCAGTACAATTAAATTCTTTAATTGATAAGCAAACAGAAGTTCTTTTTACTTATTAATTGCTCTCCTGCCTTGGGTATAAATAATCTTAAAACAGACAGTATTACACAGAGGTATAATGGACCTCCAAAGAAGCAGTAACTCCAACTTACAGTAAATCCTTGTGGCCCTCCATCTTTCACATGGTAAATTCCACTACCAGCTTGAAACAGAAATGTCCCACTTCCTTGGTGATAATCATAAGAAGCAATTCCAACTGTTCCAATGCGTTTTCTTTCTCTTAATAATTCTTCTTCTCTAGAATACATTCCATAGTCCAGTGTTGCCTAAGAAAGAAAGGTCACTTATTCCAGTTGTAAGGTCTGCCCCAGTCCAGGCAGGCCCTGTGCAGATAGCTCCCTACCTCTAAATTTCCACCCAGTATCTGTGTTACCTAGGTAGCTGGCACACCTGGAAGCAGTAACCTCCCCCTCCTGCTAGGTCATACCTGGCCCAGGGATGGGTGGCCTCTTTTTTCGGCCATGCCTCTCCACCATGCACAGTGGGGGCAGCAGTTTGGTAAATAAACTTCTTTCCCTGCCTGAATAGCGCATGGTATTCTCTTCATCGGCTACCTAATGAAAACTACCTATTTAATATACCTTACACCAGTCTTCTGAAAACTTGCCTTTGTTTTTAATCACTGAAAGCCTAACATCTCCAATACTATTAAATCTATTTTATTTCATTTTTTTTTGGCAGGGGGGAGGAGGTTCGGTTGTGGGCTTGAACTTTGGGCCTGGGCACTGTCTCTCAGCTCTTCAGCTCAAGGCTAGCACTCTACCACTTGAGCCACAGCACCACTTCCGGCTTTTTTTTTTCTGCTTATGTGGTGCTGAGGAATCAAACCCAGGGCCTCATGGATGCAAGGCAATTGCTCTACCACTAAGCCACCTTCCCAGCCCTCATATTTATTTATTTTTGTGTGTGTACTGGGCTTGAACAAAGGGCCTCCTGCTCTTATTTGGCTTTTTCTGCTCAAGGCTGGTCCTCTACCACTTGAGCCATATTTCTATCCAAATAACCATCAATGCTGGTCACATACTTTTCTTGCCTGGGCTGTCTTCAAACCTAATCCTCAGATCTTAGCCTCCTGAGGAACATGAGCCACCAGCACCTGGATTTAGTTTTTAATTGTATAGAAAGATGAGGTGGGGCATGGTGATTCACACCTGTAATTCCAGCTGTTGGGGGTGCAGAGATTGGGAGGATCACAGTTTGAGGCTAGTCCAATAAAAAGTTAGTGAGACTCCCATCTCAACAGAATGAGCCAAGCATGATGGTATGGACCTGAAATCCCAACTATGAAGGAAGACTAGATAGGAAAAAACACTGTGGTGCTAGGGTGGCTCATTGTAAAAACTCTATGGCTTGAATGGTAGAAACTCTGCCTAGTAAGTTCAAGGCCTTGAGTTCAATCCAAGCTGGGGAACTGGGGGGGGGGGGGGGGGGGGGGGGGGAAGAGCCAGGTGCTACGGGCTCATGTGTTTACTCTGAGCTACACAGGAGGCTGAGATCTGAGGATAATAGGTGGAAGCCAGCCTGGGGAAGGATAGTTTGTGAGATTCTTATCTCCAAAAATTGAGGGAGGGCGGGGGAAGAAAAACCCAAAGTGGAGCTGTGGCTCAAGTGGTAGAGTGCTAGCCTTGAGCAAAAAGTAGCTCAGGGACAGTGTCCAGGTACCCAGGCCCTGAGTTCAAGCCTTAGGACTGGCAAAAACAAGAAAGAGGGCTGGGAAGGTGGCTAAGTGGTAGAGTGCTTGCTTTGCAGGGATGAGGCCCTGGGTTCGATTCCTCAGCACCACATAGGCAGAAAAAAAAAAGCCAGAAGTGGCACTGTGGCTCAAGTGGTAGAGCGCTAGCCTTGAGCTGAAGAGCTGAGGGACAGCACCCAGGCCCAGAGTTCAGGCCCCACGACCGGACCCAAAAAAAAAAAAAAAAAAACAAGAAAGAAAGGAAGGAAGGAGGGAGAGAAGGAAGGAAAAACAGGAAAAAAGAAAGAAAGAAAGGAAGGAAGGAAGGAAGGAAGGAAGGAAGGAAGGAAGGAAGGAAGGAAGAGGAAGGAAGGAAGAAAGAAAGAAAGAAAAAAAGAAAGAAAGAAAGGAAGGAAGGAAGGAAGAAAGAGAAAGGAAGGAAGGAAGGAAGGAAGGAAGGAAAAAAATATCAATCTTTCTTATAACCCAGGATTAAGCTGGGTAAGAGCCTCAATACAGACTCATGCTTATAATCCTAGCTACCCAGGAGGTTGAGATCTGAGGACAGTAGTTCAAAGCCACCCTGAGCAAGAAAAATCCAACTCACCTTCAATTAACTAGCAAAAACCTGGAAGTAGAGGTATGGCTCATGTGTAGAGTGCCAGCTCTGAGCAATAAATCTAAGGGATAGCACCCAGGCCATGAGTTCAAGCACTTGTACCAGAATAACAACAACAAAATGATCAATAAATCTAAGGGACAATAAATCTAAGGGACAGCACCCAGGCCATGAGTTCAAGCACTTGTACCAGAATAACAACAACAAAATGATCAATAAATCTAAAGGACAATAAATCTAAGGGACAGCATCCAGGCCATGAGTTCAAGCACTTGTACCAGAATAACAACAACAAAATGATATACTCTATATATCTGAAGGACTGACATTGATAAAATATGTATATTACTACCGGTCTGAAAAGAGGTGGAAACGAATACCTGTGTACTCATTTTTTATTTACCTACTTACCTATCTACCTACTTACCTACCTATCTACCTGCCTACTGGTAGTATTAGGGATTGAAGAGTTTGAGCCACCTCTCCGTCCCCCTGTGCACTGGTTATTTTAATTCTTTTTGGTGCCGGTCCTGGGGCTTGAACTCAGGGCTTGGGTGTTATCCCTGAGCTTTGTGGTGGCTAACTGGAGATAATAGTCTCAAAGACTTTACTGCCCAAGCTGGCTTCAAACTATGATTCTCAGATCTGTCTCCTGAATAGCGAGGATTACAGATGTGAGCCACTGGCACCCAGTTGTACTAATTTTTTTTTTTTGTCGGTCACGGTGACTGAACTCTGGGCCTGGATGCTGTCCCTCAGCTCTTCAGCTCAAGGCTAGCGCCCTACCACTTGAGCCACAGAGCCACTTCTAGCTTTATTCTGCTTATGTGGTGCTGAGGAATCAAACCTAGGGCCTCATGTATACAAGGCAAGCACTCTACCACTGAGCCAACTTCCCAGCCCTGCACTGTTTTTTTTTTTTTTTTGTCGGTCGTGGGGCTTGAACTCTGGGCCTGAACGCTGTCCCTCAGTTCTTCAGCTCAAGACGAGTGCTCTACCACTTGAGCCACTTCACCACTTCTGGTTTTCTGAGTGGTTTATTGGAGGTAAGAGTCTCATGGACTTTCCTGCCCAGGCTGGCTTTGCACCAGAATCCTCAGATCTCAGCCTCCTGAGTAGCTAGGATTATAGGCATGAGCCACTGGCACCCGGCTGTGTACTGATTATTTTTGAGGGAGGGTTTAATTTTGTGCCCAGGTTAGCCTGAGTTGTAATCCACCTACTTGCTGGGAATGGCAGGTACTACATCTCTAGTTGTGTGATTCCCCTGTAGCTGGGGTAACAGGTGTGTGCCACCATGCCCAGTCATTGGCTTAGATGACCATGGAAAATCTTCATGATACCAGAAAACAAAATAATTCATTATTTGAAAGGCAGTAAATAAAAAGAAAGAAGCAAACATTTTGCCTTTCCACTGTGTTCTTGGAGTAATTGAAAAGTTGCTAAGCAGAAGTTTCTCTTTATAGAAGTACTTCAATTATCAGGGCTGAGAATGTGCCTTAAATGTTAACAGCAACTGCCCAGCAAGTGTGAGGTCCTGAGATCAAATCCCAGTACCATTAAAAAAAAAAATTAAACACAAGTATTACTTCATGAAGTCCTGATGATTCATGTCTTTAATACTAGCTACTCAAGAGACTGAGATATAAGGATCAAGGTTTGAAGCCAGCCCAGGCAAGAAAGTCTATGAGACTCTCATTTCTAATTAACCATCAAAAAGCTGGAAATGGAGCTGTGGTTCAAGTAGTACAATGCTAGCCTTGAGCATAAAAAAGCTATGGGCAGTGCCCAGGCTCTGCAATTAAGCCTCAGGATTGACGCACGCGCACGCACACAAACACACACACACACACACCCAGTATCTGAAAACATATGCTACACACACACACACACACACACACACACCAGTATCTGAAAACATATGCTACACACACACACACACACACACACACACACACACACACACACACACACAGTATCTGAAAACATATGCTAAATTAAGCCTCAGGATTGGCGCGCGCACACACACACACAAACACACATACACCAGTATATGAAAACATATGCTAAGTCATAGGAATAACAATATTTAGTCCTACCTGGAAAAGATCCAAAAGAGGCTTCCAAGACAGCATCAAGACTGCTGCTCTGTTGATGGTCTTGGGGATTTCGGAATAAAATAAAGTATTTTCTCGGTTCTCACCAGACATAGCTATGAGAAAAAAAACCAACCATTTGTTATCATTATTTCTTCAAGTAATATTCTTACTACAATTGTAATTTTAAGTACATAATTCCTTCCATATACTACATTATTATTTTCTATTCTATGGGCTTTACAAATATATTAATAAGGGCTGGGAAGGTAGCTCAGTGGTAGAGCACTTGCCTTGCATGCATAAGGCCCTGGATTCGATTCCTTAGCACCACATAAGCAAAAAAGAAAAAAGCTGGAAGTGGTGCTGTGGCTCCAGTGGTAGAGCGCTAGCCTTGAGCTGAAGAGCTGAGGGACAGCGCCCAGGCCCAGAGTTCAGGCCCCACGACCGGACCAAAAAAAAAAAAAAGTACACACCCATAATACTAGCACTTGGAAGGCTGAAGTAGAAAGCGCTTGAGGACAGCCTAGGTTACACAGCTAGATACTATTTCAAAACAAAACAATGAGCCAAGAGTGTGGTTCAAATGGTACAGCAGCCTGAAGGCCCTGAGTTCAAACCCCAGTATCAAAGCAAACAAAACAAACAACTCAAATTTCTTACAAGGTTTTACAGAAAAATGCTGAGATTTCACTTCAATGTTAAGATCAGAGTCCCTCAAAGAAACACACATAGAAGTACATAAGATTAACCAGGAGCCAGTGGCTCAAGCCTGTAATCCTAGCTCTCAAGAGGCTGAAATTTGAAGATTGCTGATAAATCCAGCTTAATCACAAAAGTCTGTGAGACTCTATTTCCAAAGTATCCAGGAAAGGCTGGGCTGGAGCTGCAGTTCTAATGGTACAGTGCCAGGTGAGCAAACAAGCTGAGCCAGTGCAAGGCCCTAAGTTCAAATCCCAGTATTGATAGGAGCATATAAGATGCTGCATATAGAGTTAAACAAATCCCATTTCTAGAAAGTTTTGAAATTGGTATCCTCTCCAAGTTGGCAACATACTAAGACTACAGTGTGACTTGAGATACTAAATTTCTTCTTTTTCTGATTTTTTTTTCCCATTTGTGGGCCTTGAACTCTGGGCCTTGGTACTGTCCCTCAGCAATTCAGCTCAAGGCAAGTGCTCTACCACTTGAGCCACAGTGCCACTTCCAGTTTTCTGGTGGTTAATTGGAGATAAAAGTCTCAGGGACTTTGCTGCCCAGGCTGGCTTTGAACCGTGATCCTCAGATCTCAGCCTCCTGAGTAGTGTAAGCCACTGGTGCCCAGCTTTTTTATTTTTTTGTGCTTTGTGGGACTTAAACTCTGGGCCTGAGCATTGTCCCTGAGCTCTTCAGCTCAAGGCAAGGGCTCTACCACTTGAGCCACAGCGGCACTTCCAGTTTTCTAGTGGCTTATTGGAGATAAGAGTCTCATGGATTTTCCTGCCCGGGCTGGCTTTGAACCAGGATCCTCAGATCTCAGCCTCCTGAGTAGCTAGGATTACAGGTGTGAGCCACTGGCACCCGGCTTTTTTTTTTTTTTTTTTTTAATGCTGGTTTTGGGGGCTTTAACTCAAGCGTCTAGGTGGGGTGCCTTAGCTTTTTTGCTCAAGGCTAGCATTCTACCACTTGAACCTCAACTCCACTTCTGGCTTTTTGGTGGCTAACTGGAGATAAGATTCCCACAGATTTTACTACCCAGGCTGACCTTGAAATGCAATCCTTAGATCCTCCTAAGTAGGATTATAAGTGTGAACCACTGGCCCCAGGCTGAATTTTCTAATTATTTAGAAACACACATAGGTTTAATTGAATAATAATTTCTCTTTATTATAAAAGTCCTATGACCTTTGGAGTCTCAAATAAAACTATAATATTAAAACAACGCAGAGCCGGGCACTGGTGGCTCAAGCCTGTAATTTATATCCAACAAACCACTAGAAAACCGGAAGTGCCGCTGTGGCTCAAGTGGTAGAGCGCTTGCCTTGAGCTGTAGTGCCTGGACAGTACCCGAGCCCAGAGTTCAAGCCCCACAACTGACAAAAAACAAAAACAAAAACACCATAGAATCTGATTTACTAAAAATTTTTGTGCATTACTGAGGAGGGGGAAAGGAAAAAGCAGCGTAAACTACACAGAGCCAGGCCTAGACTATGAATTCAGTAATAGCCAAATGAAAACTCATAGTAGTGTAGGACAAAGTACATACAAAAGAAATGGAATGGAATGAGCTGGGCGCCGGTGGCTCATGCCTGTAATCCTAGCTACTCAGGAGGCTGAGATCTGAGGATCACAGTTCAAAGCCAGCTAGGGCAGCAAAGTCCGTGAAACTCTTTTATCTCCAATAAACCACCAGAAAACTGGAAGTGGTGCTGTAGCTCAAGTGGTAGAGCACTAACCTTGAGCTGAAGAGCTGAGGGACAGAGCTCAGGCCCAGAGTTCAAGCCCCATGACCGACCAAAAAAAAAAAGAAGAAATGGAATGGAAAACACTGTTATGAAGATGTAAACCAAAGGCTACTTGAACAAAATGAAATAACGCCTTTCTGCCAGAAGAGGTACTATGAAACCTCGTTTCCAAAATGCCATAGGAACATGAAGAAAGGAGGAAATAAGAAATTTTCTCTCAAGTAGAATAGATCTTCGGCCTGCTCTGATAAAGACAACAGAGTGGGAAAGACACAATTACTCCCATACTAACCCTTGCAAAGGTGGAGAATAAGTCCTCAAACAATCATATTTTCCTTTACCAGCCTTACTTTCCAAATCTTTCTTATCTTGTTCTGCCTTCTGAAGTAAAAAGTTAGACAGAACCAGGCATTTGTTTCAATACTGATTTTGACTTTAGTCCGTCTTGTGTATTCAGTTGTTTTGTTATTAAGATGTCACCTGCCCCCATCACTCACTTTCACAAAATGTGATCCCCTCCTCCTCAAGCCTTCATCTGACCGACAGTTCAATGGGACAAAACAGGGGCCAAACATGAACCCCTACTTATATATGATAAAGGTGGTATTTCTGATCATTAGATGGAAAGGTAGATTATTTAAAATATTTTGCTAAAATAAATGCATGGCTGGGGCTGGGAAGGTGGCTTAGTGGTAGAGCACTTGCCTTGCATGCCTGAGGCCGTGGGTTCGATTCCTCAGCACCACAGAAGCAAAAAGAAAAAAGCCGGAAGTGACGCTGTGGCTCAAGTGGTAGAGCGCTAGCCTTGAGCTGAAGAGCTGAGGGACAGCGCCCAGGCCCAGAGTTCAGGCCCCACAACCGGACCCAAAAAAAAAAAATAAATAAATAAAATAAATGGATGGGGCTAGAGATGTAGCCTGGTGGTAGAGCATGTGCTTAGCATATATGAAGCCCAGGAATGGCTCCTCAGTATCACAAACTAGTAACTAAACAAAAATAATAACAGGGGCTGGGAATGTGGCTTAGCAGTAGAATGCTTTCCTAGCATGCACAAACCCTCAGTACCACATAAACAAAAAAGCTGGAAGTGGTGCTATGGCTCAAGTGGTAGAATGCTAGCCTTGAGCACAAAGAAGTCCAGGGATAGAGCCCAGGTCCTGAGTTCAAGTCCTAAGTTTGGTAAAAATAATCATAATCAAAGTAACAACAATAACTGAGTAACCATCCAAGGAGATTAAGTAGTTCCTCCTGTTCATATTTTATAGAACAACTTTTTTTTTTGGTCAGTCATGGGACTTGAACTCAAGGCCTGGGCATTGTCCCTGAGCTTTTTTGCTCAAGGATTGTGCTCTACCACTTCGAGCCATAGCGCTACTTCCCTTATGGAATAATTAATTCCAAATGATTTCAAGATTAAAATTGAAGCCATTATAAGTATTGGAAAAAACACTAAAGAATAAAAAAAATAGTCTTTTGAGTTGGAATATGACACAAAATTACAGAAAAGTAAAAACTACAACCTCACTCAAAAAAAATTTTGTATAGCAAAGGATATTATAGATAAAAGATAAACCAAAACAGAGAAAGGAAGTGGTACTTTGGCTCAAGTGGTAGAGCGCTAGCCTTGAGCTGAAGAGCTGAGGGACAGTGCCCAAGCCCAGAGTTCATGCCCCACGACCGATATTTAAAAAACAAACAAACAAACAGCTGGGTGCCAGTGGCTCATGCCTGTAATCCTAGCTACTCAGGAGGCTGAGATCTGAGGATCATGGTTCAAAGCCAGCCCAAGCAGGAAACTCCGTGAGACTTTTATCTCCAATAAACCACTAGAAGTGTGCTGTGGCTCAAGTGGTAGAGTACTCACCTTGAGCTGAAGAGCTGAGGGATAGTGCCCAGGCCCCCCAGACTTCAAGCCCCATGACTGAAAAGAAAAAAGAAAAAAAAAAAAAAAGAAAAAACAAACAAAAACCTCAGAGGAAGCTGGGCGCCAGTGGCTCACTCCTGTAATCCTACCTATTCAGAAGACTGAGATTTCAGGATTGTGGTACAAAGGCAACCCAGACAGGAAAGTCTGTAAGACTCTTATCTCCAATAAACCACTAGAAAACCAGAAGTGGTGCTGTGGCTCAAGTGGTAGAGTGCTCACCTTGAGCTGAAGAGCACAAGGACAGTACCCAAGCCCCAGAGTTCAAGCTCCACGACTGACAAAAAAAAAAAAAAAAGGCTAAGGCACAGAACTTAGGCCTCAGTACCTGTGCACACATGTGTACATATGTTAGATGATCCTAGCTACTCAGGAGACAAGAGATCATAGTGTAAACACACACACACACACACACACACACACACAAAGTTAAATGAGCCAATAATAGCTACATATACAGAGAACTCAAATCCATTTTTTAAAAAGATTTACAAATACCCTGGGTTCGATTCCTCAGCTACACATAAGCAAAAAGAAAAAAGCCAGAAGTGGCGCTGTGGCTCAAATGGTAGAGCGCTAGCCTTGAGCTGAAGAGCTGAGGGACAGCGTCTAGGCCCCACGACCGGACCAAAAAAAAAAGATTTGCAAATAGATCAGGCTCAGAAATAGAATACAAGTGGCTCTTAAACATGTGAAAAGATGGATGTTAATGTAGTCCCTCTGTACAACACCTTACTAATAATAGAATTAATTTTAAAAAGATGGATGTTCCACCTCATTCCTAAGAATAAAGTTAAAATCCTCAAGTAAGTCATTAACCAGATTAGAAATCAGAAAGTCTGATTATTCAGTACTGGTATAATTCTGAAGAGATACTTTGAGATGATGCTAGTGGTAACCTAAACCCTATAATCTTCTTGTAGGAGAATTTAACCTTTGTCCGAGGCCTTCTACTCTTAGGAATTAGTTCTCTATGTATATTTATGTAAATGAAAAATGATCAATACATGATATTTATCTTTCCTTAACAGCAGAGTACATGCAAAGCTCCTGGGTTCAATCTCTAGTAAAACCCCTGCCCTCCCACCACCCCCCACCCCCGCAAAAAAAAGTGGATTAATATATTTAATTTATCGTATTTTAAAGCTGGACTAAATGGACTCAAGAGGAGACTAAGCAATATCAGCCTTGGGTTTAAAAAAAGAAGGCAATAATGGCCGAGAACTTCTTGTTATCCTAACTAGCTTTAGGAAGAATCAATTTTTGGTAGAATTTAAAATTCATATTTACTAGGTAAAAATAAGTAGAACATCTTCAAATTTAAATTTTGCTCCCCTATAAAGGAAATAAATCACTGATCTACTTATTGCCAGAATTTGAGTGTGAACTATATGTAATTTTGCCATTTGATTTAACATGTTTCCTCTCAGAAATGAACTTTATACTTACCGAGGTAATAGATCCTGTCCGAATAAGGTCCATCTGGATCATTCCTCCTCACAAACATAAAATCATGCGGGGCCTTAGCCATCATGTAGCCATGATATTTTCTGGTATCAGCAAGCAGCTTTTTCAGCTGACTCCAAGAATACCGTTCAACATAAAACGGCTCCAACTGAGGGCGATTCTGCAAGTCAATTTGGTCCTCACACTCTGCTGTTTCAAATACCTCAACACCCGGCTGCTCTGTTTCCATTGCTGCTGCCATGTTGCATTTTCCTAGAAAAACAAGACACTTCCATGAAGCTGTTCACAGGGTTGTCTTATACTAGCACAATGATAGTCAGACACACAGACACACACACACATCAAGAAAAATTGCTTAGCACACTTGTAAAGAAAGCTAGCAAGAAAAGCGAGAGCTCCCGCTTCTCTGAGCTCACTTTAAAAATGAGATTTACAGGAAAAAAAAATTGAGGTCATGTCAATTTCACTGTGACTATAAATCCCTCTGGGAACTTTTATAAAAGGCCCTCCTTAGGTATCTCTTGCCAACATTCCTTTTTCTTTCCCACAGTAGAAGGAAACAGGCCATGTGCCAGTTTGCTGCCATGTTCCACCCAAAAGCATGTCAACAGAGAAGCTAAATGTGCCAAGGAAGTTAAGTGGTTTTGCATTTTAAAAAGTAATACACTGACAAAGTGGGTCTATCCAGCTCATAGGAATAAGCACAGTAAATTAGAACAGTAACACACTGTCACAAACAATGTGCTTATAACAACCTTTCTAGGACAATGACCCAAGATGTAGTTTTCCTTTTAAATGAACTCCAGCAACAGAATACTCAACTGTCTGGAATCTAATGCTTTTGTCTACACATCATCTCTTAATATTTGTGAGAACTCAACATTTTAGGAAAACTTACATGAGTATTACCAATTTTTAACTAGCAGTTTAAATGAGGAAAAATATTATTTTTAATCTTATTAGAAGGTAAGGAATAAAGGATTTAATGTTTATATTAAAATTTTGATAAAAGTTTGCACCCAAGCTGGGCGCTGGTGGCTCACGTCTATTATCCTAGCTACTCAGGAGGCTGAGATCTGAGGATCATGGTTCAAAGCCAGCCCAGGCAGGAAAGTCCGTGAAACTCTTATCTCCAATAAACCACTAGAAAACCAGAAGTGGCGCTGTAGCTCAAGCAGTAGAGTGCTCGCCTTGAGCTGAAGAGTTGAGCGACAGCGCTCAGGCCCAGAGTTCAAGCCCCACACCGACCAAAAAAAAGTTTGCACCCAACCTACCAGTTCAACCACCAAAGTATTTGTTAATCTCATATGGTAGTGCACAACTGTATTCCTAGCACTTGGGAGGCTGAGGGTGTTGAACTACTGAATGTTGAACTATTCCAAGATCCTGTCTTGGAAACCAAAACAGCTGGGTGGTAATGGCTCATGCTTGCAATACTAGCTACTCAGGAGGATATGAGGATGACAGTTTTGAAGCCAGTTGAGGCAGGAAATGTCTATGAGACAATTATCTTGAATTAACCACTTACATAAAAGCTGAAGTGTAGCTGTGGCTTAAGTGCGAGTGCCAATCTTGAGCAAAAAGCTAAGCGATAGTACCAGTACTGACACATCAACACAAATACAACCTCCTATACTAACAATGCTTGTTTTACAAATCTGAAAGAATTTTTCCCTTATCTTTTCCAATGTTTGCAAGCAAGATGGGTGAAATACCAGCAAAACAAACAAAGTGAGTCTAACTCAGTGATTGAACGTTTACCCAGTTTTTTAAAAGCCGTGGTTTTGGTCCATTACGTTAGACACACACACACACACAAACTCTCTCTCTCTCTCTCTCATTTTTCATGCCACCACCAAAGAGCAACATAAAAAGTTTATAGCAAACTGTTCTTTTTTCAATAATTGTAAAAAAACATGTAAAGCCAGAGTTGATGTAATCCTAGCAACTTAGGAGATCTGAGATTGGAGCTTCAAAACCAGCCTAGGTGGTGAAGTCTGGGAAAGTCTTATCTCTAATTAGCCACCAAAAAGCTGGAAGTACAGCTGTGGCTCAAAGTTGTGGAGCACTAATCTTTTTTTTTTTGTCAGTCCTGGGCCTGAACTCTGGGCCTGGGCGCTGTCCCTCAGCTCTTCAGCTCAAGGCTAGTGCTCTACTACTTGAGCCACAGTGCCACTTCCACCTTTTTCTGCTTATATGGTGCTGAGGAATGGAACCCAGGGTCTCATGCATGCAAGGCAAGCACTCTACCACTGAGCCACCTTCCCAGCCCAGAGCACTAGTCTTGAGCAAAAAAGTTCAGGGACTATGCCAGACTGAGTTCAAGCTCCATGACTGACATTAAAAAAAAAAAAAAAAAGCTAACGCCCAAGGTTAACATGAATTCAAGATAAGTAGTGACTACAGCACAGGGAAAGTTAGTAGTTGTGGGGGTGTCCACCAGGCTTGCCATTACTGGCAGGCAAATGAACTGAACTCTATGTCCAGCAAATGACACCATCCCTTCCAATAGAACAGCAGCAAAGGAACCAGAAAGCTACCAGTTACATTAGAAATTCATTAAAATGATTAATACTGGACACTGACTTCCAATGAATAAGATTCAAAACAGCCCACACAGCTCAGCAGAGAATTGTCATGCTGAATACTGCTATCTAAATTTCAGCATAAGCTGGGCCGCTGGGGGCTCATACTTACAATCCTGCTCAGGAGGCTGAGATCTCAGATCACAATTCAAAGCCAGTCCAGGCAGGAAGTCTGTGAAACTCTTACTTCCAATTAACCACCAAAAAAGCTGGAAGTGGGAATGGGAGCTGTGGCTAACGAAGAGGAGTACTAACCTTGAGGGGGGAAAAATGCTCAGGGACAGTGCCCAGGCCCTGAATTCAAACCCCAGGACTGGCACAAAAACAAACAACACAACTAAATCTCAGCACGATCCAAAGCAGTTGTTTGCCCTTCTAAAATCTAGCAGAGGCTACTTCCTACCAAATATATCATGAACTTAGTTTTATAGCTATCAGAGTAAGGGACAATTGAGAGGAGAATCTACACAAACCGGTCTCATTTCCTTTTAGACTTTTTTTCCCCTGGTAGAACTGGGGTTTGAACTCAGGGTCTTGTAAGCTGGGCAAATACATCTCTAAACCAAGGCCTGCAAGTCCAAGGCTAGGAAACATAACAGAGCCACACAGCAGACACTCTCCAAGTTTCAATGCTCATTTTGTTTTTGTTTTTTTGTCATTGTTAATGTTTCTACATACCTTACATTGAAGTAAAATTATCTGGTTATTTCTGAATGGTGTTATGGTCCTTGACTATTTCTGACTCTCTACTCAGGTATACATGCCTGCACATACACCCTATATAGAGCAAATGACATTCTGCCATTCTGGATACTCCTAGTAAATGTTAACTTTTTTCTAGGATAGACCTGGCAATTGTTAGTGTGATTCATTTCCAGAATTCCTTAATGCCTTATATACAGTCTCCAAACACGTGGCTGATATTTTCCCTAAAACAAGGTCACATATGTTGTAATGGATGTATTTCATTGTCTTACCTTCCTCTTCACCATAGATCTTCCCTATAGCTACTGATCATATTCCCACGGGCTCAGATCTCCCACACTCAGAGATTATTTAAGAATAAATATTTCTTCATGCATCTAGCTGTCTTTTCATTGTAATCTTTCCTTTACAACCAATCTTGCCATCAGATAATGAAATGAAATACAGTATCAGACTGTTTATCATGGGGATGGACCTTATTATATGATCAAAAGATTTGAGTCTAAGTCCCCAAACCATACCTAAAACTGTTAAGAGCCGAGTGCTATTGGCTCACATGTGCAATCCTACTTACTCAGAAGGCTGAGATCTGAGGATCGTGGTTCTAAGCCAACGCAGGCAGGAAAGTCTGCAAGACTTTTATCTCCAATTAATCACAGAAAAAGCCAGACATGAAGCTATGGCTTAAGTGGTACAGTGCTAGTTCTAAGCAAAAAAGCTCAGGGAGAATGCCCAGGCCCTGAGTTCAAGCCCCAGAACTGGCATGAAAAAAAAAGAGAGAACTCTAAACATATAATGGTTAAATTATTTTACATCTGTAATTAATATTATCAAAATTCTAAAATTAAGCTGGGTGCTGATGGCTCACACCTGTAATCCTAGCTACTCAGACTGGGATCTGAGGATGGCTGTTCAAAGCCACTTCGGGCCGCAAAGTCTGTGAAATTTTTATATCCAATTAACCACCAGAAAAACAAAAGTGGAGCTGTGGCTCAAAGTGGCAGAGTGTTAGCCTTGAGCAAACAAACTCAGGGACCAAAAAAACAAAACAAAACAAAACAAAAAACCCAATTATTTTTCTTCAGAACTGTATAGCTGTTTACTCAAAAGAAAATTCTAACTAAAGTGTGAATCTTAAAGGGCTTTAAAAAGTCATAAAGACATACAATTATGTCTATCACAAAACATAAAAAGCCTATTTCTGTTCCCCTTTTGCATGATGCTCCCTATCAAGCTGGTTAGAGCTAGAATCAACAGGATAAACATAATGAGATCTACAGCCATTTTTGCAGAAAGGGAACTCAGATTTAACAAACTGTTCTGAGACAAGGTCTTGCTATGCAGTCCAGGCTGGTCTCCAAGTTGAGATCCTCTTGCCTCAAACCTCCCAAGTGGAAGAGATGGGGGAGAATAAGATGCATTACCCTCACAAACTGACATGATAAACTGAAACTTCTCTAGGTCTACTACCTAAACATAATTTAAAAAAAATATAAAAAGTCTCCCAAGTGTGGGAATAAAAGGCATGCACTAGGACTTCTCACAAGATGAAGAATGTTCTATTTATTTAAAATGCATTCCTTTCCCCCCCCCCCCCCTTGCCACAAGTCTATGACAGTAAGATGAGTAACTTTTCTAGAAAAATTCATGGGGATGGAACTCAGGGCCTGGGCACTGTCCCTGAGCAAATTCTTTTGCTCAAGGCTAGCACTCTACCATAACTTGAACTGTTTATGTGATATTGAGGAATCCAAGCTAGGGGTTCATGCATGCTAAGCACTAAGCCACATTCCCAGCCCCAAATGATCATTTTTATGCCATTCTTGGGGCTTGAACTCAGGGCTTGGGCTTTTTTGCTCAAGGGTAGTGCTTTTACCATTTGAGCCACAGTTCCACTTCTGGATTTTTGGTGGTTATTCTGTCCAGGTTGGCTTCAGACTGTGATCCTCAGAACTTAGCCTCCTGAGTAGCTGGGATTATATGCATGAGCTACCGGCGCCGCTCAAGAGAAGGGTGGGATGGTATCTGGTAATTTATCGGCTTCTGTAGCCAAAGTGGATGGCAGAGAGGAGAGATCCTGGTTAAAGCTAAGTGCCAGATGGAGATGAAACTGTGAGCATTAGACTAGCAAAGTGAACAGGCTAAGAAATCAGGCCACCACTCCGCAGCACTAAGCCTGCCATTCAGGTTGTCTGGACTCAAGAAAGGGCTTGGCTGGACACCAGTGGCTCATGCCTGTAATCCTACCTACTCAGGAGGCTGAAATCTGAGGATCGCGGTTGGAAGCCAGCCCGACCAGGAAAGTCTGGGAGACCCTTAATCTCCAATGAACCACCAGAAAACCGGAAGTGGTGCTGTGGCTCAAGTGGGAGAGCGCCAGCCTTGAGCAAGAGAGCTCAGGGACAGTGCCCAGGCCGAGTTCAAGCAATTAAAAAAAAAAAAAAAAAAAAAGGTTTGGACCAGTCCAATAGCATTCCATAATTTTTTTTTTTTTAACTTAAGGGCCAATCACCTCACGCAAACACTCCACGCCTCACGGAATCCTACCCCACTGCACCCTCCGGGGCTCACAATTTGGTTCAGTTCTCATCCAGGGGCAAAGATCGCGAAAGCTGACGAAGGAAGAGGAGAGGTGCCCGCAGAAAAAAGGTGGAGGGGGGGGGAGAAGGGGGGTTGGGCAAGCGAGGGAAGCCCCTGGCTTCGTGTGTGTATGTGTGTGGGTGTAGGGGTGCGGGGGGAGAGGAGGTGCAACCCGGGAAGGAAAGTGTTCTCCGGCTTGCGGGTGGGTGGAACAGAACGGGCGGAGGACAGAGAGCGAGGGAACGAGGGGGGGGGTGGGGGCTAGGAAGAGGGGGGGGGTGGGGTGGGGGGATCGACCCGAGTGAAGCGGCTAAAGTCGAGCCGGAAAAACCAGAGAGAAATCGGGAGGTCAGAATCCCATCATCTGCCCCAAAGCGGACCTCAGGCCAAGTTCTCCGACCTCCGGGAACTTCCGCGTTCTCCTTTTCGTGAAGCCGGTCCCGAGCACCTGCTGCCCCTCCCACCCCCCACCCCCCCCACTCCCCCCACTACGTCCTCAACCCCGGCGGGGTCCAAATGGAGATAACGGACGCGGACGTCCGGAGGGCCGGCGCGCCCGGGAGCGCTCAGGGAACGTTGGCTTCCTCTTCCGGCAAGTGGAGAACCCCCCCCACCGCCGCCGCCGCCGGCTCGGGCCCCCGCGCGGGCGGCTCCCCGGGCGGACAGGCCGGGGAGGCTGGGGCCAAGGCCTCGCGGGCTCCGGGGAAGAGGGGGGCGGATACCGCACCTTCCCCCCAGCCCCGCTCCCCGACGCGCTACGGAGCGGGTCCGCGCCGCTTCATGTCGCAGCCGCCTCCACTCCGGGTCCCGGTGACAGCAACTTCCGCGGCGGCCGTGGCGGCCCCCCCCCCCGACTGCGGGCGCGGGACTTAAAAGGTGGCGGCCGCGGGCGGCAGCGGCGGCGGCGGCGGCGGCCAGGGCACTTCCGGTTTCTGCAGACCCCACCCTTCCAGTGGGACAGGAGCGGATGGACCAAGAAGGACGCTGCCTCCAGCTCCGGCTGGCTTCGCGCGCCACCCCGCCCTCTAGTGGTAGGAGGAGCGAAGAGCCAGGGAGAAAAGACGACGCGAGCGGAGCGGGGCGGGGCCTGGCGGGGAAGGGGCGGGGCCGGGCGGGAAGGGGCGGGGCCGGAGGCGGGACAGGGGAGAGTGTAGAAATCGGCCACAACCTGCAGCGTGTGGATCCTATTTCTTTTTCATTCTTGCCAGAAGGGTTTAAACCCAGGGCCTTGCGCTAGCACTGGGCACGCTACCACTTTAGTCACAACTCTAGTCCAGCTTTTTTTTCTTTAGTTTATGTGTGCAGATCCTGGGGCTTGAACTTTGGGCCTGGGCGCTGTCCCTGAGCTTGAGCCACAGCTCTCCTTCCAGCTTCCACCCCCACCCCCTTCCCTCCTTTTTTGGTCGTTAATTGGAGATAAGAATTCTGGCTCGGGCTGCCTTCCTCCCTCGGGCCTCAGCTTCTTGCCTAGCTAGGATTACACACACCTGAGCCACTGGCTGAGCCACCCGTGCTTGGCAGCAAGTAAATCCTTCTCCCCTTTCTTCCTCCCCGGCTCACAGACACACCCACTTCACCTTTGGATTTGGGTCCTGAGCTCCCACAGTCTTACCCGTGTTGTGTGTGCTGCCAGTTTCTCCTCCAGCGCTCAAGGATTCCGTGGTTTTGCCATACTCTTGACAGTTCAGCCCTTTCAGGATAAGTTCGCTGTCATCTATATGACCCACTCAGCTAAGTGCTTCCTGGGAGCTGATGGGATTCTTCTTTATCATTGGATTCTTGGTTCGACACAAATGGGAGGCCTCACATCTGTAATCCTAAACTACTCAGTAGGCTGGGATCTGAGGATCACTGTTTCAAGCCCATTCAGGCAGGAAACTGTGAGACACTTAGCCTCAATTAACTAGCAAAAAGCTGGAAGTGGAGGTATGTCTCAAGTGGTAGAGTGCCAGCCTTGAGCAGAAAAAGCCAAGCAAGTGTGTGATGCCCTGGGTTCAAGTCCCGGTACTGGCACACACATGAACATACATCCTCCAAAAGCAAAAACAGAAACATGAAAACAACTGGGAATTAAAAGAATGGAATTCCATTCCCCCACACCCCAGACTTCTAGTTTTCATTGAAGCATTGCTTGCCATTCAATCTTTCACTACAGAAGAACTTGGAGATGAAAATGAAGACTGATGAAATAAATAAGACACAAATGAGGTTTCGGGGCATGGCTCACATGGTAGAGCACCTGTCTACCAAGTATAAGGTGCTGAGTTCAAATTCCAGTATAGCAAAAATGTAAAAGGAAAAAGACCTCATGAATGAGTGTCATCTTCAGATCAGGCTTCTTGGTTCGAGTCTAGACAGGAGTTGTCAAGATGTCTCTTGGCAGGAAGGACAGTCTCCTGCACTGCCCAATAAAACAGTCGTCAGATGGCTATTTATTGAGTAAAACCTAACTGTTGTGGCACGGCTACAGTGCTGAAGAGCACCTGGTGGGCTGTTTCTATCATAGCAGTTCTACTAGCTAGCACTGGGAAACTCTAGTCTTCACACTCCAGGGACCCCTCTGGGCCCAGCTGCCTCCGCTGCCTCCACCACTACATTCATCTTTATTATTAATTATTAATTACTTTTGTGCCAGCACTGGGGTTTGAACTCACAGCCTGGGAACTGTCCCTTAGCTTTTCCACAAAAGGCTGGTGCTTTACTAATACTTGAACTCAGCTCCATTTCGAATTAAAAAAAAAAATTAGTTATAGCTAAGAGTCTCACAGACTTTTTTTTTTTTTGCCTGGGTTGATACCAGGATAGGATTTTGACTTTAGACGCTTATACTTGCTTGGCTGGTGCTCTCCCACTTGAGCCATGCCTCCAGTTCTGACTTTTGCTGGTTAGTTTTGGAGATGGAGGTGCAGATTTCTCTACCCTGGCTATGAACCGTAATCTTTGGCTCGCAGCCTCCTGAACAGCGAGGATTACAGGAGCCACCGGCGCCTGGCTGCGTCTTTTTCACGTTTTTTAAGATGCTTTCCTGGCAAGCCGGCGAGAACCACGTGACACCGTGACGCGCCGCGAACCCACTGCAGACTCGCGAGTGTCCGACAGCCGCACCAGGGGCGTCATGACGTAACCGTGGCCCCGCCCCTTCTCGCCCGCCCCCGCCCGGCTCGCGCCGCCGCCCCCGCCCCCTGCTCAGCAACGCGCAGGCGCGGGCCGCGAGCGTGGGGTGGGAGGGGGGGGAACCATCTCCTGGTAGTTGCGCTGCGGGCTCCGGAGCGGTGTGTGTGTGTGTGTGTGTGTGTAGGGGGGGGAGCTTGCGGCCTGCGTTTGTCCAGCGCCGGCCGCGCGCGCGCGTCCGCTGAGGAGGTACAGCCAGGCGCCGTGAACCGAGCCTCCCGACTCCACGGGGGGCAGCGTGGCCATGGAGAACCAGGTCCTGACGCCGCACGTCTACTGGGCTCAGCGACACCGGGAGCTGTACCTGCGCGTGGAGCTGAGTGACGTGCAGGTAAAGGCCGGGTCCGGCGGCGGGGATCCCGCGGGGCGGGCGGCGGGGGGGGCGGGGGAGGCCGTGCACGCCCTTGAGGGCCTGCAGTGCGCCAGCCGGGCCCCGCCGCCGCGGCGCTGCGCGCACGCTCGTCCCGCTCCGGGGCTGCAGGTGGCGGCGCCGACCCCGGAGCCCCCGCCCCGGGCCTCTTCGTTCGTGGCCTGAGGGAGGCCCGGGCCGTCGGGGTGGGGGTGGGGGGCTCACCGTGGAGGTGGAGTGGGCCCCCCTCGGGGTCTGAGGGGGCCGCGTGACGGTGGCCTGTTGCGTGGTGTCTGGGTACCCAGCGCTGGCATGAAGGGGGGGGGTCCAGCCAGCCCCCCCCCCGGGGTCACCGCCTCCTGAAGGGGCGGTGGTAGGTGACACCATCCCCATCCTACCGTTCAGTGATGGAAATCGTGCTTCCAAATTTACCAGACGACTCCTGCTCGACTTCCCCCCCCCCCCCCGCACCCCCCAGCGATTGTTTCTGGGGATTTGAAAGTTGCAGGGTGCTAAATTGCATAAAGGACTCAAAAATGATCTTACGTGACATTATGATTGATTTCATGTGAGCAAATCACAGCCCCCCCCCCCTCCACTCCCAATAGTGGTAGGTTCCGTGATCTTTGAACTCCCATCTCTCCATCCAAACATTTCATCCAGGATCCTGTTCTGTGAGGAACTAGAGTATTGGATCTGGAATGTTCTTTCCACAGTCATTCTTATTCCCTAGTCTTCTTGAGAGAGCTGTTACTCAGTAGTAATCTCGCTCACTCCGAATCAGACATTTGTCTCAACCTATCCGTTCCTCTGACATAATGTCTTGCTGAATGAATGTGGGTACTTGGCTAGTGTTGAGCTGAATTTATTGAGTTTAATTTAATCTTTGCTTTTAGAGTATAAATCAGCTTGCCTCTTGAAAGATGTTGATGGTACTGATCAGAATGTGCCTTAAGGCATACTACTTTAAAGTTGGCTACCGTATTTATTACATGATGTGTCATTTGATGTGTTAACCCAACCTGAATTACACTTTTGCGTCATAGGCAGAATAAGTGTTCTGTTCCGTCTCCCTCCACCCTGCTTACTAAAATGGAAAAGAACATCAAAATTTTTTGTAGACAAGGATCAAAGTACCCATTTAGAGAGGGAGAGAGAAAGATTCTTCCAGCAATCAAAAGAAAAAGTCTAGAACATGTTACAACAGTTTCTTTATATATTTAAACAATATGTAGACCTGATTAGAGATTAAATTCTCTAAATATATATCTGGTAATAAAGATAGACTATTAGAGTACATTTTGAAGCTCAAGCAGCAGTAAAGATTTTTTTTTTTTAGGGGGTGGGATAATAATGGAAATAAATGGAAATAGGTTGGATGAATGAAAAATGGACAGTACTGACATTTTTCTTGAAAGACTAAAAACCTCTTAAACATGAATACACGTGTTAATTACATTTAGGATACTTATAATATGTAGACACATATTTGAAATAGATCACAAAAATGTGAAGGTGGAGAAAAATGTGAAAGTGAAGAAAAAATACTGCTTGGGAAAGAGAAATCCTTTTAAAATTTTCTTGAGGGAGAGAATAAGTCTGCAATTATTTTTTTTTCTGCAATTATTTAAAATATTCTGGGATTTCACATCTGTGATTCTGAGGCATCCATTTCAGTTCTGCTAGTTTAAAACTAGGCATGTAAATACCATTCATAACGAGATCCTCTAATGTGTAAGGTACTCCAGATTTACAGAGATGAGTTAGAATCAACTTTTCCAGGACATGCTATCTAGAGGAAAATGCTATATAAAAACAAAGTTTTCTTCATGGGTAGATAGTAGGAGACTTTCCAGAAAGAGGAAGGTATAGCTCTTTAGACACTTGTCATATTAATGTCCTACAGCCAAAGGATATTAGAATACACCTGAAGAGTTGGACACTCCATGGAGAATGGCCATGGTGTGATGGTTAAGAGGGTGTTAGAACTGATTATAGGATTTGGGCATTGGTGTTTGGGGGAGGGTTGAGGGAAGTGGGGGCTCACTGTAGCTTAGATGCTGACAGATAAAGGAGGCAGTTCTTTGGTTGAGTATCTGGATAAATCTTACCTGTGAGGAGGAGAGACTTAACCCAAGAATAAATTGTAGAGCAGAAGCATCATTTTAGCGGAGAGGTGTTTTTTGTTATTTTGCAGGTGACACCGTGACCAAGTATGGAATAGGTTTTGTCTCATTTTGTCAAAGTTCCCGAGTAATTTTGTCTCAGGATGGTATTCTGTGAGATAGTTGGGTTTGAAAGGAGAATAATGTGTGCTAT